CCTTAAATATGGCTACTGTATTCTTAGGCATCGTTCAATGCGCCGTCTACTTTCGTCGAAAATGTCATATTATTGCTTGCTTATATCACGAATAATATTTGCAATGTTGATTTAACCTTCAGGAAAAACAAGGTTGTGCTTCGGTTAATCTGTCGACGGTGGACCGCGTCGCGCATGCGATCGTTGACTGACACGCCTGTTTTCTTCGTCAGCTGACCATAGCTAGTGCTTAACCGTTGTTTTTTATTTTGCCTGACAACGTCAAATAATCCCCTAACATCCAGGTCGTGTGCCACAGAGTGGTGCGGACGAATGACTGTGCCGGTCGTCCTTTGTTTGGGCCAATCTACGAACACCAAATTATTAATAGGCACCAGAACTGCTGCTCTCTCCTCCCGATCGAGCACCCTCGTTGTACAGTCTACGAGGCTGTTTCGCTAGATTAATAATAATAATAATAATAATAATAATAATAATGACCACCATCATCATCATTGGCGTCTCACTAGAATGCTCACCTGACCCTGTGCGTCGTCAAGCCAGGTACATGTCTATGCAGACCGCTTGGCTGAACTCTACCAACACTCCGTCCCTTTGCATGTTAAAAATGCGGGTTGTATCTTCTCAGCCTTGTATCCCTAAAATCAAACGTGGGATTATCGCCGATGTATTTAAGCTGAGTACATACTACTCACTGGTATTCTCGAGAATTTGACCCGGATAAGCTGCTCACCGATTTCGCTGTACTCCGCCTTAATTCATTTAGACGAAGCTTGACCAAGCTGATACTGGATGGGAAGAAAGTCATTCGAACACCGTCGCACTTGCTGCGTCAGGTGTTTAGGGACACCATCTTCACGTGGGGAAGGCACTACGTACAATAGCAAATCTGAAATTAACAGATTGTGAAGCGGTGCTCCGTGACTTTTATTATTAGTCAGTGTCTATCCAAAAAAATTAAGACCACAAATATGTGACTTCCTATGAGCGCATCAGACATTACTTTCTGGGGGCCCTGTTCACGTTGTACGGCAAATCTCTTCTCACTGTGGACTGTCAGCCCATCAGAAGTGGCTACTTTGTCAAGAAGCCTCGAGACATTTGGGACTTTTTATTTACTTTTTTTGACAAACATTTGTCTTCTGTGATGGACTTCCTTCAGAAACGTTTGATGCATCCTACCGCTGTAAGGATGCTTATGCGTTTCCACTTTGGGAATTTTTGCGTCTCTTTTACATTTGCGCCTATGAAGGTCAACTTTACTAATGTCGAACTGCAGCTAATCCTCCTTTCAACTGTCACCATTTTAAATTTTAAACTCTCTTTTGTGCAAAGTAGGAAAATACTGTCTATACGAAGCCTTAGATTATTTCTTCATGCCATCTTCCTCTACGTCTCTGCCAAGTATGCATTCAAAGTCATGGAGACGTAAAATGTCACATTGAAGACCAGTAAGACTGAAGATTTAAATATCCAAACGACCGACGCGCGACTTTGCGGTATGGTATACGTGCGGCGACGTTCTAAAATCGAACGCGGATGCCTTTTCCTCCGGACAGATGCCCGAAGACTTAGCCGATTCCCCTTACTCATATGCTGGAAGTATTTTGCACGCTTTATGAACATCTTTTTCCCCATTTCTTTCCTAGTCGAACTTGCAGATGAAATTCGGCAGCGCTTTTCCTTTTCGGCCGAAGTGCACTCATTCCTGCTGCATCGCCTGCGCCTGTTGGAACAAGCTCTGTTGGTGGAGCAGGGACTCTTTTCCGTTGCCCTTGCGGCCTTGTCAGATCCGGACAAAGAGCCCAGCCTGTCTCAAGTCATGGCACTCACCTCTAAACTCTCCCTCAGCCTGGCCTCCAAGGGACCTCACAAGCATCTCTCCCTGCCGCCTGACAGCCACGTCGCTGAAGCTGTTCGCAACGGTAGGCGGCAACAGTGGTACTAACCATGCTTACTGGCATACCTAGACCTACTGTTTCACACAGACACCTATTTTTGGTGTCCTAGGCCGCTGCATTTTGTGTGGACGGTTGTAGATGTCTTCGTGGTGCGTTTGGACATGAGAATAAGTGTCCTCCCGTATTACTGGTGGCCTTTTACTAGACTCCAGGGGGTATCTACTTCCGTGTCCTAACTGTTATCCTTACACTAACCCCAACCTTAACCCTGCCCCCCCCCCTTCCCCGGAATTTAGTGCAAGTCCGCCACCGGTAGCCCGGGAGGGTATTCGTTCCCGTGCCCTGCCTATGTTAGTATTTCGCATCGGTAGACTGCATTGAATTCTACATCCAAAATCTCAAACCTTCCTGATTGGGTTCTTGGTAGGGCCAACTAATGTTGCCAAAGAATTAAAAGTGATCATCATGTGGATAGATTACACGGTACACATCCCAGGAAAGTCTTCGGACAAGGGAGAATATAGCGCTAGAGAAAAAGTTTATTGGCAGAATAACATTATCGATAAAGATAAGGGAGACTGAAATGGTCATTTCTGGCTCATTAGCCGTCGCCAGCTAGTCATATTCAACCCTGAAGTGTGAAACAACTGGGGCTTAATCTCGCGACCTGCCGGCTGGACGTCCAACGCCTCTAACCACTGAGCCACGGGCTCGTTGTCCTGTCGTTTGCGATCCGGAATAGACAATTGTGGAGGGGAGCTCATCGATCGTCTTTATGGAACTCACTCGTCCGAGGTAGAGCTCTAAGACGTAATGGGACGAGTGAGCTCCGTAAAAACGATCGATGGACGTCCCTCTATGAAAAAGTCTATTGTTTATAGCTTTCAGCCATTGCTGCCACGACGATAGTTAAATAAGCTAGGAGCAAGATTTTTCAGGAAGTATTGAAGGCGTACACTGATTTGGGTCACCAGTTTACGACCTGTTGCGTCGTGCTCTGCCCGCTGTACGGAAATGTCCAACAGATTGAAGAACTTGAGCCGTCTCCGTGATCGGTGACTGCCATCGTCACAAATACAACCACTTGCAGGGCGATGACGCGGACGTGACTAGCTGCTGTCCACAATTAAACTGTCCTGCTGCTGTCTTCTTTTCTCTGGCAACCAGCCCAAGGAAAGGTCTGGAAATCTCTAATTTCAATTCAATTCCCATAGTGAAAATACTTAAAGATCCTTTGTAAGTGATGCGCGGAGGCGACTGGCCGCGGTACGGTACTCTGATCATCCTGTACGGTTGAGAGAATTGGCTTTTGCATGTGGAGACGTCGATGCGCAGGCAGCGTTGTCCACTGTCTTGGCTCTTCCAAACATCAGTTCCGAGGACGTTTGACTACTTGACTCAAATTTCTGCTTCCTCTTTCATCTTTATACATTTTGGATTTTGTTTGCCCTCAGCGGCAATCGAACTGATATTTGTTCGGTCGAATTTGAAGTTTACCTAACCGCCAATTCGGTCTCAGTGCACCTCGTGGCTGTGACCTATCACTAGTAGCTTATCAGTTCATTTTGGTGTAGGGACGGCCACTTCGATTCTTATTTGGACTTCTCCACCGACTCCTTTGTGATTTATCACAACCGCACTCCTAGACCCTTTCTTGCCTGTTCGACGTCCGCCTAGATTACTGTCTTTCGCGGCGATGGTTCTCTACCCAACAATAAACAGTTTTTATTCCGGCTAAGCCAAGTTTCGCCTCTCGTCCTTCCTTTTGAGTAATGTGCGCAGTGCAGCTTCGACCTTCACGGTGACTGGTTCCACTATCACACCTTTGTTTTGGCCGTTGGTGGATGTGGTGAAGCCCGCTACCCTGGCAGTGCTTGTCGTGACTTGTTGACAGCTTATATGTGCATCCACTTCAACACCAGCCCTTCGCGCTTTCTTTTTGTCCATCCATTTAAGCCGTCAAGGAGCTCCACCTTCTGCTCGAAGACCTATACGCAGACCTCCCAGGTCTTCCGGCCGTTCTCACCTGCGACGGCATCGACTTCGCGCAGCCCCGCTTTTTCACCATTAATAGTCCGCCCAGGAGCAGGGTCAGTCCTGTCTCCGAGGCCCATTCCTCAAGTCAAGTCCACCCTCCCCAGGTACAGTCGTCGCTGACCCCTGGGCTGTCTCCTTCCCTCCACTCGAATGCTCCTTCCGACGGCCGACCTGTGGAACGCGGCAACTACTTCTCCAGTTCCTCGGAAGGCCATGTTGCGACCACCAACTCGCCATCTCTTGATAGGGTGATCGGATCGACACCAGCACCGCGGGATGTTGTGATACATGCAGGACTGCCGGCCGTAGCGGTAGTCTCTCCTTTGCTACAGAATTCAAAGACTCCTGACCACACTACTCCTCAGCAGGCGAATACACGTGTTACTGAGGCCTCCTTGATAACTCCATTAGGCGACAACGTCTGTGCTAATAGGATGCCGTCAACCAGTGCAGCGAGAGGCGGGTTGTGTCGGCGAAGCACGCTACCAGAAGTGAGGAAAGCAGTCAGGTCCGGGCCCGATTGTTCTCTGGGTCAACAAGACGACAATTCCGTTATTGAGATCAGCGATTCAGATTAGACTGTGCTGCTTGGAACTCACGTGTCTCCAGCATTTATGTATCATAGTTGCCTGTTGTTTGACATCTTCCAGATATTTTTTTATCCTAAAAAAGTCTTCCATCTATCCTCGTTCTTATAACAGTTCCTAGTAGTGCTACTTGGGCCTAATCACTAGATCCGGAGCACAGACTCTCATAAGCTGCAATATTTCGAGTTGGGTTTTTTCGAATTCTGGAATATCTCACATTATTTTTGTTTGTTTAGGCTATCGGTCCGGTGAAATTCTTGATAGGGAATTACAGTTCAAAAGAATATATGGCCCCGCAGCTGCCAAAGCGAACATTTATTGTGCATACGACATTTTAACTTGTCACAATCACCGTAAGAAGCATATCAGGTCATTTCAATAACTACAGTATCGTATGGGAATTGGAGGCAAGTCTTCTCATCCAGTCTTCTGATTCACCCTTCGTATCCACTTCTTACACAGCAGCCAGTTGAGCCTATTCACCAAGAACTGTCTCTTGGAGACAGTCTGCTGTTTCGGACATTCGTTCTTCCGAGTTTCTGGAAAATCTCAAGGCTTCGTACAGCCTAGTCCTGTGGGTTAGAAAATGTTCCTGTATGAGAACGGCGTATTTTGAAGTATTTCTCCTCATGCGTTACCTTTATTGAGCAGGGAAACATCTAACGGCAATGTTAGTAGCCGTGTTTCGAATGGTTCGGCCGTTTGTGAACTTATACTACGCCTTCGAGCTATAGAAACTGGAAAATTCTAGGCGCATGACCGCTGATCTGGTGGTTCGCCCACCGTAGTCGACGACAGACAGCTTCACCGGACTAAACTTGTAATTTAGCGACAATTAAGAGCTCTGGTGGACATTGTTAAGGTTAATGTGGTGTTCTAAGTAGCTATAAATGTGGGCAAAAAGTGGGGTATGTTGGCATGATGGTGCCCGTTGTGGGTAAGACACAGGAATTGCGTGCATATACTCTAAAGGGATGTCGAGCTGGTGAGGCAGGTGCAGTGGTGGGGTTATGGCAGACAGCGAAGTGATGGAAATTGTGGCCTGGGACATAGGGTGCGGATCGAATTTCCGTAACTGTCCCGCCAAATGCTCTAACCCACGTCTGACTTGCGGACACTGCTAGGGTATCTGAGTCGGTATGGGTCGAGTTTTGTGGTCGTGCGGGTTCGGAGTTTTGAACGCTCTGAACAGCGGAGTCAGGATTAATCCGAGGGTTGGGGCAGATGTTTGGTGGCGGACGTTAAAGTGTCCATTGGTAGCTATGACTGCCCGGGCGTGCTTTCGAAGTGCGGGCAACTACTGGGTGGTCGGTCAGTGTTACGATTTTATTCGGCGTTTTTTACTGGTGAAATTGCGGTGGTGAGAATATGTTCCGGCCCGAGCTTACTAGCAGACATAAAGGGCCTGGGCTCTACTGCGTATCCGCCCTGGTTGTAGTGTGCAATGCACACATCACCGGATAGGCCATTTATTCCGTCCCTATAGTCTAGGGATGCACATGTGGCTGGTGCGTGATAGTCCCCGTCGGCTCAGTGGTCGGTGCCAATTCGTGATTACTTCTCACGGTAGCTATCTGTCAGAAATGCAGGGAACATGATGTGGAAGAGGGTTTGGGTGAATGCGTAATACTGCTTGACCAACGTTGCCACCGCAAGGATCCCTCACACTGTTCCGTTGTCCGTGGCGTGTACCAACATGACTTCGTGTTGGTACGTTCATTTGTCTGTCTGTGTTGATTTACGGTGTCGAAAACTCCGGTCAGATCAACGAACTTCATGTCAGGACTAATTATCATTTCCTAATGCTTTTCTGTAGTCCCCGCAGTCCTTTGGGGATGGACACTTAGTTTCCGGAAGTCCTTGTTGCAGACGTAATGGCAGGCGGTCGTAGTGGACACGAGCGAGGATTTTACCCGCAAATCTTATGAAGCAGATGTCGCGGTGATTATTGCAGATTTCTTAGTTTCCTTTTCGCTTTTAGAGGTGCGAAACAGTGGCTTTCTTGATGGCTCACGGGACTCGTACTCGTCGTCACAGTTTGACTTGACGAAGTTGACGGAAACTGTACTTGTGGACCCCAATTTGAATGGCGTCGGTACTCCATGTTGCCCGTATTCAGAAATTAAGTGTTCTCTGAGGGCGGTGGTGATGGTTTCCAGGCACCATCGAGTTAGTTTAAGGAATAGCATGACTGTACTTTATTGATGATTGGTCATTTGTCTAGAGAAGGACGTACATTAAAGACTAAATGGGGACAAACGCTGTATGGGTTTTTGTGTTTCGTCATCACGTGCTAAGCCCAGGAACAAGGGTCGCCTCTGTCGACTGTGCAGACCAACATTTCTGCGACGTTTCCTTCTCGCTTCTTCGTTCGAGGGTAAAGGAGTTCATCCCTGAATGGGGCTGTCTAGAAATACCGGGTGAGAGCCGAATCCAACAATGGCTATCGGGTCGGTATGACTCGACAACAGATCTGGGCCGCCTGCCGCATTGCTTTTCACCCCCTCCGTAGGACCTTAGTATGCATGATGAAATTGGTTTTAAGAATGACTGAGTAGTGAATATAACTTGTGCATAGGTCGACTTGTAGTAGGAAAAGCATTGGCATGCGACTATCTCGAGAGTGGTCTCCCCCTACTTCAATGGTTTACGGAGACTGAAGCACGGTTACTGGGAATGTTGATCTGATAGGCTGGTGGGCATGGCTGAAGGAGGGGGGAAGTTGTATAGGTGAGCGAGTTTTGGTTACAGCGAAACCTTGTCCAGCGTGATTATGGCTATCCAGCATGGGATGTTAGTCAGTCATGCGTGGTGGGGTAAGAGGACGAGGGAGGGAATGGGCTGTTTCCGTAAATGACTTTTACCATTGCATTACCTTCTGCGGTAAGATGTGGTTATGTGGCATCACCTGACGGCCACAATACTGTTGGGGTTGGGATTAGGGGTTATGGTTAGGGGCTAGTGTAACAGACTGGGGTTAGGGCAACTAGTTCTCAATCCCTCAAGGCACAACCGTACATTCTTTATAGTTTTTCACTTAAATACTAGTACTCGACCTCGTCACCTGTGCGTTCTCCGGTCCCACCTACAAAAAGTCCTATTACCATCAGTCCCGTATTACACGTGACTGGGGTTTGTTTACTTCAGGTGGTCTACATAACCACATCTGACCCCTTCAACATATTTCGTCATCTTTGCCCTGTTAAAATTTATTACGAAAAACACTGTTTTAACATCTGGTTCGTTTTGATTGGCTCAGGGCACGTGTGAAACGCCCTCATCGACTAATTTATTTTTTGCAGTCCTAGCAACTGTTCCTTAGGGTTTCAAGCGTTTTTTTAAACATTTTTTTTATTTTTGAAATTTTCGACCAAAAATTAAACTGCACAATCTTCATTGCGCTGAATAAGGCAATGCAGAACATTAGTATAGCATCGAGGATGAAGGAGACTACCTGACATTCTGATGGTCATGCTTTTCCCTACTGGCCAACTCGTCGTCAGCATCGACCTCGATCCCAGTGCACCATGGATTTGGCGCCGGGATGTCTGAAAAGGCGCCTTTGAGTCGTTCATAACTGGCATACACAAAAGGAGCTCAGATCAGTTTGTACCGTTTTTAGCAAAAAAAATGAAGATTAAAGTATACCTAAACTCCAGAACTCTGAATTTTCCAATAAACAAAAATCTGAAGAAACCGCTTTTGAGTCCATATCTTATATCAGCAGAATCGGAGACCTTTGCGCTAGATTAAACAGTTAAGTGAAGTGAACCAGATGAAATTAGTTCTCCATGAATGATTCAATCTCTTTGGATAAAACTGGAGTCGATCTTTTACTGCCAACTTACATTCACAAAAACGGCATTGCACCAACGGCCCCTACGTGCGTTATATTTATGTATTGTTCCACCGACTCAAATTTTTTGAAAGCAGTTTGGAACTAACATCACATATGGACGAGCACATTCACTCTATTCATCCAGGTTTCGGCTGCGATAGGCAAGTAACTTCTTTGATAGAATGTCGAATAAAGAGTCGTGACATTGTCTTCTTACCGTTCTGATATCCTTGTGTTGTAGATGTCAGCCAGCGCGTCCAGTGTCGTGAACTGGTCTTCCATAGCACCTACGATTTCTTTAAAAAATATGGAAAAATCATATGAGCAACAATGTACTGAACCACCATAGGGTTAAGACTGAATTTTGTGCTTTTCTGAGATCGGTCAGCCAGGATTTCTGATGTCTTTTTTGGTCTTTAGTATGCATGTACATCTGCCTAGCTTGGACATCTTGGGATAATGTGCTCGTCCTGTGACCTAATCAGCACGGAGCGTCAGTTTCAGTCTCTAATCTCCTAGATCTGCACGAAGACGTACTTTATACTTGACAAAAAAAGGAAGGGATTTAGCCAATCCTCCGTGATAAAATCAACAGTAACCAAAATGCCCGTCTCCTTCGTGGGCACTAAAGACGCATACTTCGAAATTTCTGTTACCTGCACCCGGTTTCTATGCGGGCTTTGCCAGAACAAGTACAAATTACTGGAGTTCGATTGAGATGGTTTTGTTGTTTGTTTGGTGGGAGGTTGGAACTGGCTGCGTGAGACTTTAAGGTTTGTAACAAATAATCATGTCTTTTCTTACATGACAGTCTACTTTGACTGCCTTTGGGAGTTCAGCAACCATGCAGTCGGATAAATGGACTTCATGAAGTTATATGGAGTAAAACCCAATCTGAAGATCCTGCTCGTGTTAACTTCCTGGTTATCGCATCGTATATCGGGAATTCTGTCCCCGTGCACATTACATTCAATTCTCTCCCATCAAATGATGATTTACAAAATTTTTGGGAAGATGGTTCCGCCTTAAGTTTCTGCAATTTCAGTTCTCGAATCGCTGCCGAACAGTATGTGGAAATATCGCTGTCTTTCTTTATATACTTAAAATAAGTCCATTTTAGGGGATGGAGGTTTTAGCTTGTTTATAAGCAGACAGTTTTAAAGGAGATCCACTGCTGACTAATTTTTACAAAGCGAACTAAGATGATGCTTAAAAGACACTTAATCATAGCCTTATCAAGCCATTCAAGGCAATGTCCGCGTATTCTTTCAGAGATCTCGCCATTTGATTTCCATGACCTGCTCCAAAGCAACGAGCAGACGGTTTCGAAATGCAGGTCAAGCAGGCTCAGGGTTGGATAAGGGTCGACGACGGTAGTAATCTATAAATGAACATTACGATTTTCATTTCCTTTGTACCTACCTCCTAATCTCTCCGTATATTTCTAATTGCTATTTGATTGCCTGTGAGGCCTCTATATTAGGCTTCAAGGCAAAATGGACGAGCGTCTCCAGTAACCCAATCGATGAACGTCCTTCTAACATAATTAGGATTCCCGATCAAAACCGACTGGGCAGCTGGCCCAAGGCTCAGTGGCAGAGGGCTAAACTGCTTAACGCTCAATGACAAACGATTTCGGGTTTGAATCATAGATCATGCAAACATGCGGCTGAGCATTACTGATTCACGATGACTATGAATCGAAAAAATCGTCATTCCAGCCTCCGTTGTCTTTTGCGTTAATAAGTTCCACACTACCACTGAACTAACGGCCCGTTTTCTTGTCATTTGCGATCGTGAGTATTAACCAAGTTGGAAGTTCGTTCACTGTTCGGGCTACGGAACATGTGCGTCCCCTCCTTTTTGGGGAGCAGTTAAGAGCCCACGCAGGCATTGTCATACATACACATGTAATGGTACAAATTCTAACCGAAACATAGAAGTTGTTATGTACCGTCGAAAATTAGACGCCTTTTTACACTACCAGACGTCTGGCGGCGAGCAGCTGAACTGGCCTCAAACGTTTAAGCAAAAAATTGTTTCCCTCAATAAATTTCACTTTTTACACATATATCTCATTTAATCTCCATTACAAATCGCTGCTGGACTGCCTGCAACGGTTCTAGGATGAGCCCCAAGTTGCAAAGGAACAAGCACGTTCCGTAACTCGATCGGTGGGCGCCCATCTGTCATGGTGATATATATCTTTGCAACGGGTCTGATAAAAGCTAAACGAAGGCCTATGTTGGCTCCAAACATAAGACTTCTAGCGTTAGTGGGACGATTCGTCCAAAGATAGAACACAAAATAAAGCGGAGTCAACTAGATGAAATTCTGATGGGTGAGACAGAAACACTTATAAAGCTTCGAGTGTCCTGTAAAAAAACTGTTGTTACACACATAAAAATGTATGTGATTTACTAGAGCTGTGAACGGAGCTGATGGAAGCAGCCATCATATTGGCTGCTTCCACTAGTTCTTGAGCAAATAAGCAAATTATTTCTTAAGGTTTACTAAATAGGCAGACCCAAGTGGGCAATGGATATGGAATTAAGCATTACCTTGGCCGACGTCAAGCAGAGTAAAAATCTTTTTTTCCGGTTCAGTCTTATCACTCCTCATGAGTTGGTCCTTACAATTCACATTAAATGCAACGGAGAATTACGCGTTGAACTGTGGCGACTTTTCCCTGGATTTCCCTCATGAAGGATTTAAAGTCGCGGCTAGTTTCAGAAAAATCGAGAGGATTATTTTGTATATTGAGCTCTTTGAGTTCTCTGAGGTAATCGACAATTGTCTGCATAAGATAATAAAAGTGATTTACCAGACAAAGTAGGAAGGTGTTATCGAATTATAAAAATGTTCTCGCGCCTGTCTGATTTATTTGAAAAAGAACGAAATACGACATTATCATTTATAACTAGCAAAATCGTTAATATTTTATTTATGTAATTATTCCAGTCCATCCATAGTAGCCGATGTTTGGCTTATTTCTAGGATGAGCGTGTGATTTTAAATGCTTGTTTGAGGTTTACGATCGACGATCCGCGCAGCTAGCATTGCGATAGCGTACAAATTCGGGAGATTTTTGTTCTGAGCGCCTTAAAATCAAAATTCAAGATGAACAAACTCCATTTGCGGGGCGTCATAGGATTATGCGGGCGCTAGAGATGATTATCTTACTATAAAACATAATAAAACTCTCGAAAAGCTGCCATATTTTAATGATAAGTCCAGATATAATAGGCAGTGCAAATAAGATTATCATATTCTGTCAAAAAAACGAATGGGACCCACCAAAATCTCCTCAATGTTTTCCACTGAATTTTGACTTAAATCAAGGTATTCTATTGAAGGGCATGCTAACGCTATGCATGTAACCGAATCCAGTTTGTTGCCTGACACGTTAAATGTAGTGATATTGCTATGACCCATAGATGATTAGAAGACGAATTACGGAAGTTTATTGAGACCAAATAAACTGGATATTTTGTTCTCCGAAATATTGAGGGACTGGAGGCTTGACAGACCGTTAAGGGCCTCTTTTACCTCCGTGATTTTGTTCGCCGATACGTCTAAATCCGTTAGCTGGGCACTCATTTCTTCGGAAGTTCAAACTCACATTCTTGCAATCCTTCACAGGAATTATTGACTCCACTTGATTATTTGACAAGTAGAGCTCTCTGAGGGACGGAAGTTTCTGAACGAACTTAAAGGAACGAAGTTAGATGTACAAGACCTTACCTCAATATCACGCACTTGGTTGAAACTCAGATTCAAAACTACTAAATTTTCGCATTTTTCAAATGTCAGACTGGCAATTTTTGAGATGCAATTGAAATCTAGTCTTAACTCTTTCAGAGTTGCACACTCTGCGAAGGCTTTTTCGATTTTTCGCACATTATTGTGTTGAAGATGCACAACTTCTAATTGATGAAGGCTGACAAATGAAACGCCATCAATTTCCTTGCCTTTGTAAGCCTTCAACGTCTGAGAGACAATTGTCGTAAGCGATCAGGCGTTTCAGATACTATTACACAAAATATTAAAATCACGCGCCCATACTGTAAATTCATCCAGTCCATCTAGAGCAAAAAGGCAACTTGATGATACATCGAGTGCTGTCGTGCTCTCATTTTTCTGAAAAATAAGCTTATGTTTTCTTGCACTTAAGTACCACCTTTTTTCGGTTGTTTCCGCTGCCGCACGATACATTACCGTGTGAAATTTTCGTAGCCATCGTAAACGAAATTTCGCGCAACTTCGAAAGCTCGCTTACGATTGTGCGTAATTATAACATCCGGAGGCCTAACCTAAGGCCGACCTTGGTTATTTGAAAGGAAACTCACGTTAGAGTGGGGTTTTCCGTTTCTAAGGAACCGTCTCTCCCAGCCCACCTGAATGTAAACAGCCTTCTGTCAGTCTACGATAAGCTGTTCTGGCAACTTTTCGCTTCACCCCAATTCATCTTTTCATAATAGTTTTCCATTATTATTGCAGTTGATAATAAATTACGTTTTTGCATGTATTATCCTATTTTTTGTGATGTTCCGAATGCCTATATTCCCTGACTCTTCATATTTTTAGATTCAAGAACTTTTAGACAGGACCGTCGTAGTAGGCGACCCCTCTGAGATTAAAAATCCATACCTCTCTTCAATGCTGTTCGCCAGTCTACGACGCTTCCCGCCTGGACGCCACATAATGCATAATGTCGGAACCCGTGCCTTAAATCCAGTCCTCCGTACCAGCCAGCAAGTGTAAGTAATGCAGAACACTTTTCGGAATTCAGTGCCCCTCAATACCTTAGTGTTTTTCACTTTAAGAACCCATGAATGTGCAGTAAAGGTTAAGCGCTGAAATGTAACGCCCCTGGACTTCGACAGATTTGTTTGAATGAGGTGACACTTTTCCGCGCGAGGACCTAGGGTGGAGATGGCGTAGTCGCGTGTCGGTGAAGATAACCGGTGTCCCTCCCTCTCTCTTCTGCCGATCCCTTTCTCCCCTCGTCGTACCGTAACGTAACGTATCGTCCGAACCGCTCGCCTCCTCGCTACATCGGCACTCCCTCGGCCCTTCCCTGCAGTTGCCCCCGGCGCTGCGCTCCCCACCGGTCTAGTAGCTGGCATGTTGGCATCGTCTCTCCACCCAGACAGGTAATTCTACAGATTTAACCATCCTACCTGTACTATTAACGATTATTATACGTTTCCCGTGCAACCTCATCATATTACACTTTATCTCTTATTCGACACGCCTTCTTCTTCTTCTTCTTCTGTGTATGGATGTGTATCAAGGAATGCTAACAGCTCCGTTCAGGTCTACCGTGGCCAAGAGCTCTTCTCGGCGTTCCCTTACTCCGGTGTGTGCTACCCTTGACGTCCTCGGCCGCTACAGAAACGTTTACCAGAAATCAGGAGACGGCGATTAGAGGCAATGCAATTCACACACACGTAACCAACATTGGCGATGAAAAGACCGATATAGTATACAAAACGCAAATGGTATTTGAGGTTTAAATCTGAAATCGAAATGCCTGCTGTGAACCGGTGGCTAAAATCTATGAATCGTCAAAAAGGTAACCCAAGACGACTTGTGAAAACCAAATGACGTAAACGCTCGGCAAAAAGGTCGACTAGCAGAGTCAAATACTCTTTGCTTGTTGAAAGTGATGATAAAACGCGCATACATGCTTACGTATATTCTTCCTCACAATACACGTCCCAACGCCGCCTGTTCATTCCGGATGGAGCTTGAGGTGGCGAATGGAATTCCCTCCCTCACAGTGCTACTGAATGCGTTTGGACCAGAGGGCTTACCTTGCCAACTGCTCTTTCAAGGAACTGCCGTGACGGAATGTTCCACCATCATGGACTTGAGTTTAACCTACACTAATAATCTACATCTCTTTCTGTTGACAGAATTACGGTCAGAGGTGTCTAGATTTTTGGTTCTATTCCTTGTCAATTCTGTTTTTAATCAAAGTTAACTAACACTACGCAATTCACCTCCTCCCTATCCTGGAATATTTCTGACCATCCTTCTGTTTAATAAACAAGTCTGGCCGTCCTAAAATTGCAAATGATCTAAGCTATTTAATTAGAAAACTCTGTATCCTACACATCCAGATAATTCCTATCCAGATTGGTGTCAGCTAACCAACCAAACACTTCTTTGAGTTCGATGAGTAGAAACTGGCTTCTCTTCCCTTTTCTGCATCAATAAACGTTCAAATCTTCCTTGGTCTTCTGCGCTTACCCCTGTTAGTCGTCAGAGGACATTCGAAAATCCTTCTACCCCAGTCACTCTTGCCTCCTCCATCTCTTCACGCTCCCTCTTCTTTGCTTCCGAGTATACCTCCCTATGGGATTATTTGCCAGTCGATATTCGATGGCCGTAAAGCCTATCTGCCCTTAAGATAAGACTGTGCCTTTATCTCAACACTAACACGATTAGCCCTTTTATATTCCTAACTATTTTCTACTCGGTGTTCCCATGACTTCAAGAAAGGAACATCGGGAACTTGAGTGAACACCCCCACATTATCTTGTCCGATAGCATATTCCTCCCGCGTGTTGCTCCGATTTTCGTTGTTTGGTCGTACTGACCGCTGAGAAGAATGACGCCCTCCTGACCAACTTTTCAGACATAAAATCAGGGGTCATCTTAATTCACACGTTCTAAATCGCCTCCGCTTCTCTCTTCAGCCGCACTCGCCAGAATATCTTTCTGGCCACTGGGATTTCACGTTACCAGCGTCCAGCGCTGAGTTTTTCGCGGCCTAAAAATCCTATGCGCACTATAATAGACTTTTCCCAACTGCTTATCTGTTTTTATACCCTCGCCTTGCCCTCGGGAGCAGATTTACGCTGCGCCTCCATATTCGTCTTTGAAGCATTTTTCTCTCTAAATATTTTGTTAAAAGTGCGCGTTTTCTGAGCTCTCCTCATATTTTTAATTTGCAATTTTTTTCAGCTGCGTCGCCCAGGACTCACACCCTTCTGTAAAACTTCCTACTTTGAGTTTTTGGAAATTATGATCACAAACATATGGGAATAAGCGAATTGCCGACAAACGCCTAAAGTCTTTCCTACACATGTACCTGTCGAAGACACCGCACGGTTTTTCCTTAAGAGTTTGATTCGACACTTGATAGAGAATTGTTGTCCGTTTTAGAGGAGATCGCGCGTCTCCCGACTTGAGTGGTTGACATCTGAAATAAAAGGGAGCCTCAGAAATGAAAAGAGACTGTCGACAACATACGCCAGATATACACAGTCTGCCCATTTCGCTGAATTTGAGAAGCCTTAAGAAAGGTGTGAAATCTCCTGAGAAGAGGACAAACGGCATTTGAGTCAGAACTAGTCGAAGAAATACCAAAACATCCAAAAACCTTCTTTACCTACGTGAATAACACAAGACGCAAATGGGACTCAGTTCCTTGTCTAAGGGATGATCGGGAAATAAGTTAACCGATAACTCAGAAAAGACGAATCACTTGTCCGAGTTTCCCGTGTCCGCGTTTACATAAAATCCGCTTGACATGATACCAGTGTCGCAACACTCCGATTTGCCATGAATTGGAGTGTTCAGACACCAAAAACGGACAGTGAATGAAGTTGTCATGCTGCCTTAATATTTTCCATCTGTTCTTGTTTGTATTGATTGTGCTCGTCATCTTTATTGCGATATTTTAGTGATTTCTACTGGCTGTATTTGCCGAATTATTTACGGTTGCTTACAATAGCACTAACATTGGCAGTACCGGTGCCATTATTAGTAGACTGCGTTAAATACACCATAAAGGTTAGCAGTGGCGATAACAGTAGTAGTAGTAGTAGTAGTAGTAGTAGTAGTAGTAGTAGTAGTAGTAGTAGTAGTAGTAGTAGTAGTAGTAGTAGTAGTAGTAGTAGTAGTAGTAGTAGTAGTAGTAGTAGTAGTAGTAGTAGTAGTAGTAGTAGTAGTAGTAGTAGTAGTAGTAGCTGTAGTGGAAGTATTCGTGTTACTATCAGTCGCAGTGGTAGCAGTACCACTGCTAATATTTTTCCCTGGCAGCTGTACTAGGCTTGCAATTCCCAGATGCTTTCGACTAGTGATTGTGGTGGCGACCAAACAGGCACCAGAAGTAGCCGCAGTAGCTAGCCTAAATTTAGTAAACTTGACTGTGACTGTACTGCTTATAACTGACTTACTAGTACCGGTGGTCACTGCTGTCGTGCTACGTGCAGAACTAGTGGAGTTCAAAGTAATTTTCGTACTTCTGTCAGTCGTAAAATTATTATTTAGATGTGTAGCATTTTCAGTAGTTTTCGTGGAAATAGTTATGTCAGTGACATTACTAATAGTAGCAGGAATAGCGGTATTGGTAACATTACCAGACGTAGTGTTTGCAGCAATAGCATTGTCTGTGGTTTTAGTGATAGTACGAGCTGCAGCAGTAGGTTACTACGTTGTAGTGGTTGTGGCAGTAGAATGGTTGAGTAGCAGTAGTTCTAGCTGTGGAACTTGTTATATTTTTACCACATCCGTTATCACACGTAATAAAATTGACAGTAATGGCGGGGTGAAATTAGTAATAGTAGCAGTTTTCGTTTATACAAAAATATCTGATTTCGTAGGTGTTTTGGCGGATTTACTAACCATACTCTTATCTTAAGCCTTAACAGCAGCCACAGTCTTGCATTTCTTTAAGAGTATCATTGATATAAGCGGTAGTACTAGATTCATAACCATTAGCAGTGACAGTTACTTGGGTAGTAACCACTGCAGTATTAGTTGTACTATTAAAAGCCGTAGACTTTGCACTTGCTACTGATCAAGTATTCGTATTGATACCAGCAGGGACGTAATTCCTTAATGTTTTACTGATGTTGGAAGTAGTACGTGCGCCAGATGACTTCTATCTCGATGTTATGGATGCAACCTTGAGCAGTACCTAGAGCTCTTGCGGCATTACATGCCGAGAAGCCATGGGAGTAGTAGACGTGGTAGTAGCAGTACTGGTTGCGCTGTCAGTTACTGCAGTATTGTTCGCAATAATCATGCTGATATTAGTAGTAGTAGTAGTAGTAGTAGTAGTAGTAGTAGTAGTAGTAGTAGTAGTAACGGCCATTGATAATAGTGGTTGTACTGGTAGCGATAGCAATAGCATCTGTCACGGTAGCAGAGTTTGTAGCTGTTAGGACGGCCCAGAACACGACGCACCGTTCCAGTCGTCCGGGGTTCACGCCTGACAAAGAACCGCAAACTCGCCGGACAGCCTCGCCTAGAAAGCCCACATGCGAGCCAGACATTTACACGCCGCTGAGTCATACACGAGCGCCTGCCCATGCGGGCGCTCAGGACAGGACCAGTAGGAACACGCAAACCAGACGAAGGCTGAACCCTTAAATACGAAGCCGCGGACGGAAGGATTAAGAGTTGATGTACGCAGGGTGACTGACGCAGTAAAGCTGTTCTCTCCTATCCTGTCTGTCTTCTATTCCGCACAGAACTGGCGTCATACTAATTGGGGATATAACAGTAGCAGACGTCATCGCAGTATTAGTAGTAAATGCGGGTGTAGTCTAAAAAGCAATATAAATAGCGGTTTCAGTAGTCGCGCAGGAGGAAGTAACAGAACTACGCATGGCAGAATTAGATGCAGTAGTCTATGTTTTTCAGTTTATTCAGTTTATTTGGTAAGTCAATAGGCAAAGCCTTTGAAAACCCTATTGATTACATGTCAGCTCGTTAGAAATAACTGTACACAAACAAAAAATATTCACTATTAAAACAGTACTTGATTCATTTGAGTAGCATTGTCTCAGAGAAAATACTTGTGGGGACGTGGGGTCTTAGTTCAGATTCAGACTGTCGAGGGAAAACAGGGGACACAAATAATCATCCAAGCGTTTCTTGAAGAATTGCAGAGACGTAGCCTCCACGACTGACTGAGGGAGATCGTTCCATTTCTCCACTACCCTCTGCGTGAAAAATTCAGAACGAAGATTCAGCCTGGACATTGGTGTCCGTAACTTCATCGAGTGACCACGAAAGATTGGGTGAAAGGTGCCACTGCAACATGTCCGCAAATTTAAGTCCATGCTCAAGGCCATGTATTATCTTGCAGACGAGGATAAAATCACCTCTTTGCTGTCTGTAACACAGAGGGAATAAATTAAGACAGTTTAGTCTGTCTGTGTAGGATTGGCTTTTTGGACCGTTTACCAGCTTTGTTGCACGACATTGTACTCGTTCGAGGCATGCTTGGTCCTTTACTAGCCATGACCGCCATGCTTGTATGCCATATTCTAAGTGGGGCCGAACAAAGGTGCCGTAGACTTTCCCAAAAAGGTCTTGGTCAAAGGTTATGAAAGCCATTTTTATTGCATGCAGCACTCCCATGGCGTTTTTTGCAGCTTTGTGGCACTGCAGTGTTGGTTTCAGGTTGTTCTGTATCCAAACCCCGAGATCCTTCTGTGAAGATTCTGTGGGGAGCCTTATATCTTTCAAGTGATATGTCCTCAGGCTCTCATTTGAATGAGAGTTGGTTGGACGCAGATGAAGGACGGCACACTTCTCCACATTGAAATCTAGAAGTCATTTCTTCGACCACGCTTGCAGTCGGTGCAGATTATCTTGAAGGGATCTCTGATCATTCGGACCCTTAATGACTTGCCAGAGCTTAACGTCGTCTGCAAACATTATTTTGCCGCAGTCGAGTTCCTGAAGGCTGTCGTTAACGTAAAGGATGAAGAGCAATGGTCCCAGAACTGAGCCTTGCGGCACACCACTGGTCACATTCACCCATTCTGATATATCATCCCCGATACAGACACGTTGTTTCCGACCAACCAGAAACGCCCTAATCCAGTTCAGAAGATCTCCCCGGATGCCGATGGTGCTCAATTTGTGGAGAAGGCGTTGATGCGGGACAGTGTCAAAAGCTTTGCGGAAATCTATGTACACGACATCGACCTCAAAACCCTCTTCTAGAGCCCTGGTCCAGATCTCCAGACAAGCTAGCAGATTTGAGAGGCAGGAACTTCCTCTCCGGAAGCCATGTTGAAAATCCTGCAAGATGTTATTTCCTTCACAAAACTGCTGTATTGCGCTCTTTACTAAAGCTTCCACCGTTTTGCAAGGGAGGCAAGTTAAGCTAATAGGCCTAAAGCTGCTTGCTGTCCTCCTGCTACCTCCCTTATGCAATGGAACGATATTACCTGTCTTCCACTGTGAGGACAGCCTTCCTGTTCTCATTGACATTTCAAAGAGAGTCGAAAGAGGCTTTGACAGCTCCGTTCATAGCTCCTTAAGTATTAGTCCGGGAATTTCGTCGGGTCAAGGAGACTTATCAGGTTTTATTTGACTGAGGACGCGTCTGACTTCTTCAACGGAAAAGACAACGGTTTCAATGACGGCAATATCTTGGCGCATTTGAAGCTCCTGGCTGTCTCGGTCCATTTCAAACTGCTGATTGTCTTCTAAGGACTCCTCCGTAAAAACCGATTGAAAAAACTGAGACAGTAATCGCACTTTCTGTGGCCCTTCAACTAATAAGTTTCCGAGGCTATCCTTTAGACACGCAATTTCGTCCCTATGTTTCCTCCTACTGCGGATGTACCCGTAAAACTTCTTGGGACATGTAATGGATTCTGCTATGAGTCGGCGCTCGAAAGAAGTTCTAGCAACCCGTATTTGTTTGCGGCATTTATTGCGCTGATCCTTATATTCGGCGAATGGCCTTGGATCTCGAAGTTGTAAATACTTTTTCCACAGTCTCTGTTTCTTTTTCATGGTCTTTTTTGTCGTCGAATTGACCCACGGCGGTCGCGAACATGGTCTTGTTATTTTTATTGGACAATGGGAATCAATTAGACACTCTATAATCCCGCGAAAGTATGGGGATAGATATCCGCAAATTACCAGTTATGATCTCCGTCCTTGTAGTAACGTAGTTGTATGGGCTTAAGTATGGACAGGTCCAGCTACCTCCCTTACCTTAAGCGCACATACATGTGCCTTAGTATCAGAAACAGCCCCTTCTTTAGTGACAGCAGTCGTCGTATGATCCGTAGGGGTAGTTTTATCATCAGACTTACTACTAATCGCATCGCTCTGTGGAAATGGTTGCTGCAGTTGTAGCAATACTAAGTTTAGTACTGATAGTTTCCGTATGAAGTTCTAATAGATGCATCTGCTTGAGTAGTCATACTGATATTACTATTAGTCGTATTGAATTCCACGACAGCCTACACCATTTACCGTAACAGAAACAGACCCAGTTTCATTGGTCAATTCCTTGTCAGTAGTTGCCGCCGCCGTAATAATTTCAGAGTTTTTTTCTACTGCAGTATTTCATAAACGGACTGTTTTACCACTTGTGGTAGCAGTAAGGGTAACATTACAGTTGCCGTTGTACTGACGGATGTGCTACCGGCACAGATATTAACAGTTTCGCTTATAGTGACGTTACCCAGAGTGTAATAGTGGCGGCCGTAATCATACCACTAGTAATCGTTGCAATGTTACGAATTGTCTTCGCACAGACCGCTTAAGTGGAGATAGTAATAAAACCACACGATTTATTAGTTAACTGAGTTGCATTTGCAGCATTATTTATATCCGAGCTTCTTTCAGCAGAACTCATAGTGCGCGCATAACACAGCCAACCGGCACAATCCTCCGGATTCCTTCGATTTGAGGCTTACTTCCACGAGAATATTTTTAAGGAAGTTAAGTAGAATAATTTACTTACTTGCCTCTTCACTCTCTACACAAACTAAACTACGGCTTATTATATGTTAGGCGTTATTTACGGACAAACCAGCTTTCCGAACTCACGCTCATGTTAGCCGTATGTTGCGTATGAATAGATGCGACGCAGTATATTAACATCATTATTTTTTTGCTATGCCCATATGATATCACAGACAACAGCAGTGCATCAGTCCCACGTAGAATTGTCTTCACAAAAATTATTCATTCGTCCTAGATACTGAGACTTATTTCTCCGTATTCAACTTACTTGCCGACTTCACTCTTTCTCACACTTTGACTTGTCCATCGTGTCCGTCTCGTTCGACTGAACGTCTTGGGTTTGCTTTCATATTTACGGCACTAGCCAGACACACACCGTGAGCATATGTTTGCCATTTGTAGCACTCAGACTCGAGGTGAGCTGATTACCGACTTTACTGGGGGAGGTCGTATGGTGACTTAGTTGTTTGTACGTAGAGTTAGTCAGGGTCGTAATGTAGGTCAAAATGTGTCCAGGAGAAAGTTAGGCGAATTTGCAACGTCCTGAAATGTGACGAGAGAGTTTACACAGCATATCATAGGGCTGGTGGTTCTTGCCGCTTGTTTAAGCCTATAAACGCATGCGTCCTTTCATGTAACCGAGTCAGGGAACAAAAATCGGGCTCGTGACTACATTCAGATTGACTAGGAACGTGGAGATGGGAGAGGTTAACGGATGTGTTAGTGGGTCCTCGGCCATATTTTCGGTGCAGCCGGTTGGAGTGGCGGCATACAAGGCCAACATCATCCTCAGTTATTGCTTACTTGAGGCGGAATTGTTGAACGTGATGAATGGCCATTGCCAAGCATCCGATACCTCCTTAATGTTACCCCTCTCCGAGAACTCGACGGAAACTGTGCCCTGAACTTCCCCAGCTCAACGCTAGTGGCACACGCGCTCGCAACTGCTGACCGATCAGTCCGGAGGCCAATACCGTTTACGATCCAATCCCGCCAGCAGTGCGAAAGCTTGGTGTTCTATGTCACTTGCTGCCTTCCCGTGGGCTGCTTTCTCAGTTTCAAGGTTATTTATGAGGTGTTTTTAATGCATTAAAAACAAGTTTTGGCGTAAATGTAGTTTTATAATAATCGCGCACTATATACCTTACGGTTTGGCTCGTTTTAGAGGCCCCACTCGTACAACCCCTCCTACTACCACTCCCGTATATGGCGAATAAGTTTTTTTTAAGTGTTGTGGCATTGCATTCCCATCCTTCGTTTAAATGGCCAAAACCGTTTTGTCGTTTGAGAAAATTATGCTTGTTGTCACGGTAGTGACTACCACCGAAAGGTCATTTTCAGTTTTGGACATATAGGACATTACATTTCGTGCGCCCAAACTTCTGAGCATTCGTAAGTCGGAAATCGAATGAGCAAAACATCGACAGCTTCAGCGAAACATCAGTATTTATATGATCGCTCTGCAGCGCATTCCTAATTGAAAAACAGGGCCTAAAAATGATCAGATATATCGAAAATGGATACATACTTCAGAATCTGACTTCGTAGGCAATACAATGAAAACACTGAAAGTCATGAAGTTTTCAACAATATTTCAAAGCTGATTCCAAACTCTGCGTAAGCAAAAATGAACGAAAAATGCAAATTGACTTCACGGAAGAGAAGTTATCGCTATGTACACAAAATGCAAATTTTATGACTACATCTGTCAATTCTATTTACATTTTTTAGTCACTGACCCGACCGGCAGCATCTGTCCTTATGGAAACTTTTATTCCTATAACGTCCCTATAGGCGAAATCAAGCAAAATCCTGTTTGCCCTATTGAACCACATGTCAACTAATATGAATGCGAAGAAAATACAACGAATTCTCAGGAAAGAATTTACAGTCTAGACACAAAATTTAGGCTGTTAGCAAATCACCATACCTGATATTGAACTAATTCTTAAAGAAGATTCGGATGTAAACTTCCCCCAAAAGATTATTGCCAAATGTCATTCTATTTGTGCCGTCGTATTTTCTCATTTTTTCATCTACAGACATTCTGCACATCGAAAACTAAAATTTACTAAATTATAACCATTTTTGACATTTTCGTGATTTTCCACTTTCTCAAAAAGTTGGTATCTCTAAAAAACGCAACATTACCTTTAACTTTTTTGTTCTGTTTTTAATTTCCTTAAAGTTATTATTCATAAACATAAATATGAGGCTCAGACATTAGGGTTGGTTTGTGAGTGGTTTGCAATCGTTCCCCAATTTCGACATGCTTCATTTTCTAGGTCGCCCAGTGTAAGTGAGAGGTGTCGATTGAGTGTTTGCGTTGTGAGGTGATGGGTGATGTTGGTGTGTGGTGCAGGTGCTAGTGAGCAAAGGCGCGAATGTGCGTTATAGCCAGCGACTGTCTACGCCAGGTGTTATCGAATGAGCATGTGGTCTAATAAGCCCATGCGGTGGCTGAATGTGCGGGAACAGTGTGGGGAGTTGAGTCGAGCGCGTCTGATCTATGTAGGCGCCACATGTACTGGTTTGTCAATTTCTGTGCGATGGATTCGCAAGTGACCAACCAGGTCGATGTGTGAGATGAAGGTGTGGTCGCAATTAACACAGGTATGGATCGAACCCACACCACTCGAGGTGGGGGTGTTTAGGGTGATTGTTTTAGATGATGGGACCTCGGATGCCGTCCCATCGGTTGAGAGGGTGTCAGAGGCTGTTGCGTTGGCGAAACTGGTCGCTGTAATATACACAGGGCATGGGGTAGGACGGGTAATGTCGGAGATCGATGGCGGCGGGGCATCAGCATTTTGGTCAACGGTGACGAGAGTGGTCTTCGTCGCGGGACTTACGACAGGGGTGATAGTAGAGGTGTTTGTGAGAGAGGAAGTTGACGTTGTTGTGTTGTCGGTGAACTATTTCTGAAGATTATGAAGCTGATTTGCGCGCGGAATGGGCGTTTGCAGAGCGGGCATGTTAGAAGCAACGGATGGTTGGCACGGAGGAGGTCAGGCACATTGACATGAAAACCACCCTTTTGGCTTTGGCTTCGCCTCCTATTTCTTATATACATCTGTTCACATGTTTTCGTCTATATTGGCCTGAGCTAAAACTCTTATATGTGCGGACGACCTAAATCTCGCACATGTATGTAACGAAAATACATTGACCAATATGCATGAAGCTGTCGGCACTGATTTCTAGATACATAATGAATGTGACAGTCAATAGCAATTGCATTCTCACCGACAAAGTCGCGTTTCAAGACTTTCGGTTCACAGCAAGTTCCCCATAATTTTCGATAGTCATGAACTAACGGAAGTGCCATTAATAGAAGACTTCGATCTGGGTCATACAAATACATTTAGGGGATCATATTAGACAAATGAAGTAGTCTTCTGCATTTACGTAATTCACAATAACCTAATGCTATTTCATCTGATGCAGACCGTGGTGTATTCCGAATAGTAATTAGCCTACCCTCTTTGGAGACAGAACCCACCAAGGGTGTCGTGCCAGCAGCTAGCTAACTCCTATGAGAAAATTTGAAGTGCGGAAATGATACATTCAACGGCAGTAGTGGATCCCCCACATGTTCTTGCTTGCACTACCACTACAGGAAACCAGAAGTCACGCTGCACACGCTGAAGTTTGCCTTATGTATGCACTACTTACTGCAGTGGACGGGGCGGCTTTCTAAGTAAGCGCTTACATTTTCCCAAGCAACTTTTAAGAAACGATGTTTGAGAACGTTCTGGAGGACCATGCCGTGGGATATCACCAAATAGGTGAACAAACGTGCAAAGATTGTCCACCATTTCTGTCTTCCCGTATAAGGCCGAATACCTATTCACGAACACCCTCGTCCAGTCCCTACAATATGCTACCCACTGCCTACACGAATGCGGATAAGCTAGACATCACACAGCAATAAATAGAAATAAGAAATCCTTCCAATTCTTTCGAGGAAGTGATAATAATAGGTTTGTTATAGCGCCTCTTGGGCACTGTCAGTCTCCTTTGAACACAGAAAAATAATATAAACCAGACTTATCTTATTCGCCTGCACTTTCATTTCATTGGTTTTGATTGTCTGCTTAGTCACTAGAGCGCGAATTCAAAGCTTGTTTTAAGGTCTTTCTCATTTGGATGCATATCGATTAGTTACCTGATGACGTATATATGCAGTAGAGTAGGGAGTTAGTATACCCTCAGCAGATATGACAAGTTGGCTAACGGTCACTGTTGAACATTTCCATAGCGCTTCTGATATCCGGGTGGGTTTCTCAGTACAAGAATGTTATCATAAGTCAGAAGTCAGGCCGTTGAAACTCAAATCCATACTCGCAAGCACATTCGTAAAGCATGCCTTAGTTGCCTAGAAATTCATCTCGCATGAAAGCGATTCCTAGTGAACATTTTTGAACTTAAAGCAATTTCGATAGCTCATATTTTGTTGATATTGGTATTAATAGGTTTGCGTTGAATAACCTTCGTTGGGGCATATCGGTTAAATTCCAAGTCTACATAGGTTTGTATGGAGGCAGAGCAGCTGACTATACTATAAACCTAAAATAAAAAAACTGTTAATGCCTTTGGTACAAGGGTCCTTTCCATGAGTATGATCTAACAATAAACAGTTAGACGAAGATAAGTAAACATCGGAATCACCCGCGTATTTGGACGTTCTTTGCCGTCCATAGAGTAAACTATTAGCACATCTGCAGGATTCCTAAAATCTTTCTGTTTGACTTGCGATCATAAAATAGCTCAAATCGATTGCGGAAGGGGAGAGGATCCTATGATGTTTATCACATAGAGTTCCCCACGGTAACACCAGTTTATGTTGTTTGACTACTCGAGTTGTTTCATCACATACACAGGCGCTGAATACGAAGATGACCTCGAAGATTGTCCAGAACTTGGCGAAGCAATTTCCCCGCCTACGATCCAGGGGTATTGAGATTTTGCGTAACCCACAAACTAACAAGGTATGAAAGGCCCCTTCGTTTGAAGCAGACGTATTTTTTAATGCTTTCGGGTTGCTTTGTGCGTTTTCTACTTTGGACACGGTTACGGATGACATGTCTCCTCAATTTGTAGGCGCGTAGGATCATTCATGGTTCTAAAGCCCCCTCCGTGAGGTAGTTTGTGAGTATGGAAAATAAAACCAAGCGCTTGGTATTGTTAGACAGGATCCTGTAAGCGGAATTTATTACTGCTGGTCGTAGTAACAATAACTTCGAATATTCCACCGTCCATCTTTCGCATCTCAAAATTATATACGTACTGGCCGGCAAAATACTTCGTTTTCGATTAAAAGGGTTTCTACCGATGAAACGTAGCCTCTGTAGGTTGCACTGCCGTTTTCAGCGTCTAATGAGTGGATAAAGTTTGACAAGATGTCTGTTTCGGGTCTTTGAAGGACTTTTAGGTGACGACTCATGGAATCTACCACTCAGTAGTCTAACCTACCTGTATGGAGAGGCGAATTGCTTTCTTTTTTCGCAAATTCCGGATTTATGTCTGCTCAAACTAGTCACACAGGAGTGGGGCATACCAATGGCAACTATAGTTGCCATTTCATCGGAATACCCTTCACCTGGGATATGTATCCCACCCCCCCCCACTTCTAGGTGGATCGGTATCATGTGCTCTACGCGTAGTTTTCTATGGACTATTGTTTGTGCCAATTTCTGCAGAATTCTTGCTTACTGGAAATCCAAAACACTCCCTACTGAGAGTTAAGTTTGTTTCTTCGTGTTTGAAACGGAGTACTGTGTGAGCTGCTTTCTCCAGCAGTAGCACATGACTGTTTAATAGTTGTTTGCGCAGAACTATTTTTATTCCTCCCAATGGTTAGTGTTGTGTTGTATTCAGCCAGAACTCAAAGGCTTAGCATTCCGTCTGATATGTTTTATCTAGGTGAATCGGTGACAATATGACCAAAATGTTAAAGATGGTAAAGGGTTTTAGTGCGAGCCAAACTCACCGCAACCCAGTATTGAAAATATATATAACAAGGCAGCCTACTACCTACTGCCAGCCACCTGTCTAAATAAGTCGACACTACCTGCAATATATACGGAAAGTGGTAGTAGTAGGTAAACGTTATATCTCATAATAGTTAAGAATACCACTTACTGACAGCTGGTTTCTCTGCTTCCTTTTAGGGTTCTGCCTACTCTCTTCGGGAACGCCAGGTTCTAGGCTTGCATGGTCTTCTGCCTCCTGCAATTTTAACACAAAATGAGCAAGTTCAAAGCATGCTCACTAATTTATACCAACTGGATGATGATCTGGGGCGTTATAATACATTGATGTCCCTCCAAGATCGTAACGAGAAACTTTTTTACAAGGTAAGCGACTCGCTTGCTCATCTCTATGACAGACAATTACATCTCACTTGGAGTATACACTGCCTTTGATATATACGCCAACTGTTGGGAAAGCCTGCCTCAATTACGGAATGATCTTGCGGCGACCCCGGTACGCCTCTTTGTTTTTCTTATTAATTATAGGGGTCTTTACATCACAAAAAATGACAAGGGACACGTACGCAGCATTTTGCGTAACTGGCCTGAAAAATACGTCAAGGCAAGTTATTTTTGTCTCTAACTCAAGGATCTCTTAAGGCTGTTGTTCTGACTGATGGAGAACGGATTCTAGGGCTTGGAGACTTGGGGGCACACGGGATGGGCATACCCATCGGAAAATTAGTTCTTTATACTGCCCTTGGAGGAGTTCATCCGCGCTTCTGTCTTCCTGTGACAATTGACATTGGCACAAACAATTCTGCGCTTCTTGAGGTAAACACATATCGTCTTTCCCTGTCGAGCATCCGACCGTCACGAAATCATAGCGTTTAGGAGTATTTCTGGGTCTTCTGATTCTGCTTTATCACCGCACATCTGCGTCCTCCCATCCCAGGAGTCCGTAGCTTACAGAACTAACTTTCCCCTTAAGTTTGATATATCTATTATCACCGTCTTCTTGAACACATTCCAGTTCCCCTACAATTTCATCCTGTAGATGGTTATGGTCGTACCATGAAAGGTGATTAGTCTTGTAAGGCACACTTGAGTCCCGGTGATGAAGGGGGAGTGGTCTTGATATTAAAGTTGCCAGTTAACTTCGTCAGAGTTGCTATCCTTACATTGACGCCTGCTGTTCCAGTTTAAGCTCCTTTTTAATGAGAAACGCCTCCAGGCGCCTTATTGTATGCGCCAATTAGGCTAATTGGTAAGTGACCGACAAACAAAAGCTCGTGGTAATAATCTTACCAATCATATGGCTAGCTTGCCTTCCCATAGGTCGGGCCTCCTTGACATTCCGTGGTCTAAGCCCTAGTCGATCTCCCTCAAGAGCATGCCAGGTCCATTGCAACGGACACTGTGAGCAGTACGCATCCCTCAGGAGTCTATCAGCATGATTGGATGAATGTGTAGTCGACTACCAGAAATAGCAGGAAGAACTCATTTACACAAGTTTAAGGATGACTGTGCTATAGTGTCGTCATCTAGCTCTGCAGAATCACATAAAGTAGCCGGTTGAGGAAAGTGCCCTAGTCGACACACTCGACCCCGCTGAATCCTCTAATATCGTCACATACTAACAACCCACTCTCTTCTGTCTCGCGGGTCTCGTTTCTGTATCCTGTTCTTTACATCGTCTTATCTTAAAGATGGGATTTCTTATCCCCAGCAAAGAGGGTAAAGCAAGCAATGAAAACTTGCATGGTTAGAAGCTAAATACAGTGTTTCGTCTGCCCTTTACTGTTTCTAACCCGTTTGACCGTACAAGAGGATTGAAAGAGTAAGCTCTATTTTCCCGAGGCCACTTTTTGGCCTTTATAATCTAACCCTAAGGAAGGCATTCTTATTAACTGTTCATTTTCGACCTCATTTTTTCCCAGAGTGAATTCTACACTGGTCTTCGTCAGACCCGCGCAAGCACCCAGGAATACACCGAGCTTATGGACGAGGTGTTGGAGTCCTTGGTCGATCTGTGAGTTTACTGAACGCATCTGTACCCTTTTCTAGCACTGTTGGTCTGCTTTTTAGCCGACGCCTTCTTCGTCAGGGACCTTAATTTCTAGCCTCGTTGCTAAATAACGGGACATTTTCGTGGTTTCAGTGACATTCCATCCTTTCTAAGTACGATATTTCGAGAGATTTGGTTCGCCAACAAGCCTCGTTACCCATGTGACATAGAGAAGCGAAATCCATAGCAAAGAAGAACAACGAGCATATAAAAGAGTCCAAAAGCAGATGAAGACAATCATTCTGCCGACTGACAAAAGTCGTTTCACGGTAGGGCTCGACAAATTGGATCATCTGAACAATGCCAAGGGTCTAGTCGATGATCTAAAATCATAAAAGCTATACTGTGTCAATTAGATGAAAAACCTGCTTGCTCAAATAAATAAGTTTGGCAAGACTCAAAGCCAATGGAGCAGTCTCACCCAACGACGGATTCTCAGTAAAACCGACTGGCTCCGCACTGACTCGTCTTTGCAACCTGCCATAGTCGCGTGAAGCAAGCTTACCACTCAGGCTCGTCTCCCTACGCGACGGCGCTGTATGTATGTTGTATGTCTGTATTTATGCTGTTGTATATTTGGTCGTCTTAAATTTCTGGACGAAGCCTCACCAACAACAGTAGTTTCTGCCACTCAGTTCCTCAAACGCAAAATACCTGCATCTAGGACCAGATTAGTCTATGGTATCCGTTGATGGCGTTTCACTCCTCACCTTCATTCCACAACGACTAGCAGTAGACATGAATCAGCTTCAGACTGAACTCTGCCAAGAGAAACAAACCCCCTGCTCGAACTTCTAAGACACTGTCCTAAAACGCATTTCACCATTGGTGGATGGATGTGGAGACAAACCTAAGGCAGTTATGGGTTCCCAATGCAAGGCTTGATTGCTGAAGTGGTTCTTCAATGAATAATACGCTGAATGTTCACCAAGTATCAACCAAACTTCGTGACTCGTTATGTCGACGAAATTTTCGTCGTCAGAACAACTTACTTTCAGGACCTGAAAGAATCGCTTAACTCGGTTGACCCGAATATCCAATTCGCGATTGAGGTTGAAGCAAACAACCAACTTCTTCCTCGACGGTCTTGTTCACCAGCTTGCAACTGGGCAACTGCAGAACACAGTGTCTAGAAAATCCATCAACACAAAGCAAATAACACTGCCCTTCAACAGGAATCACCCTCTGTCTGACAAACGTAACTGTATCCGCGCACTATCCCGAGAAGGTGAAACCCGGCAGCACACCACCAAACAAGAGATCCGAATGGCTTTACCTTCATAACCTCTTTAGAGCCAATTGATACTCAAGCCATCTTATTGGACAAAACCAAAGTGGCAAAAACCCGGGATCTAGAGAACCATTCCCTACATTAAGGGAGTCTCTGAGGCGATTTCTGGACTGTTACAACCCGCCAGATTAGGCATAACACGTCTACCTCGGCAACCATTTGTCGTTTGATGCAACCCAAGGACACGCTGGCACTCATTTAAACCTCGGCTGCTGCCTACAAGACGAGTTGCAGTGCTGCTACTTTTGAAAAAACCGGCAGATAATTTCAAGCCCGCCCATACGAACAGAAATTGGCAACTCGGAGGCTAGGCCCAAACTGTCAGCTTGCAATGCACACTGGAGAAATTGGTCGTACTTTTGACCTTTGAGGAGCGACCATTTTAGACAAAAACAACTCAAGAACAGGACGACTCACACTTGGGGCGTGGTATTCAGATGCCAGCTCCATAGGCAGGCACCTTGCCCTTCCCGCGGTTTATAAAGTTCTGCGTCTTCACGTACACAAAGACATAAGACGGCCACGGAATTTGAGAAAACCGAGCACACACGGCCCGATGACGAGCTCACCCAAGGGCAAACCGAAGAGCCACCAATACGAATGGCTCCCGCAGAGGCTCAATCACCCTCTGTCTAGGTGATGACTCGTAACGCACACAGCCGTCAAGCCCACCAAGCATCCACCAAAAGACCTGGGCTGCGAAACCAGAAGGGAATCGACCGGTTCAGGGCCGACTAGCTCGGCAAGCCGTTTTTTATCTAACACTGGGACAGTGGTTAGCCGACTATGCTTTCCGAACCGTGAGCATTTCAATAGATCTGTTCCGGTAAGCCTTTTTTTATCGGAGAGTCAGTCTACACGCGCCAGACATGGCCCGGTCCCTAACTCCACATGTGCCAGGTTTTACTCAGGGAGTATTGGATCTCACGTGGGAGTGTCGTTATGTCCATACTAAGGAGGCACTGTAGTCTGACTCAGTTCAGTCGGCAACCTTCCAAGTCACCATATTTAGCGCATTGTGATGAAGTCCAACGGAATGTCAACGGATGAAGTCAACGGACTGTAATGTCGATTGGACGACCTCGCTGAATCAGTCGATTCACCGAGCAACGCTTTGAAAATCGAGATATCATTAAGCTCTATCTCTGGACATGGGAAAGCACGCGTCATGATTAAAAACTTGTCGTGAGGGAGTACCTTGGAGACAAGTTGCTGACATATCAATTACCATTGCGGTCTGCCTGTACCAGGCGTCGGTCTGGTTAATCGTTCTTTGCAGTTGTTAATGTTAGGCTGTGCATGTGGAAGGCAAGGGAATTGAGTTTTTGACCGTTGCCCGAAAACGGTCGTTTGAATTAAGTACACCGACTTCAACTTGAATAAAGCAGTCTCAAGACATCCAAGAAGGAGGGTTGCGATGTCCCAAGCACGTTTTTCATCGCATATCTCGTAAGTACACTGCTGCCACTCGGATTTTGGGCGCTAGAGAGAGCAGGCCAAATCGGTTAACTCTGCTATCGTAGATCGTCGGTCGTGAAAAACGTTCCCCAAGACATATTCGACACCGTTCAGAATAGGCATAACCAGGCTGGCAGGGTTGCCTTGCCAGCTCTGCAGGAATTTATACCACCCTACAATAGGCCGCCCTGCAAGGCATAGCTATAAAATTATCAATTATTCGCACATTTGAGAACCATACCGTTCTTAACTCGACGCCACAGATCGGCCGGAAATCGGCAAGTTGGTCCACACCAACCTGTGCTGATTACAGGATTACAGTGAGTGGAGTCTTTAGAGCCTATACGAGCGACTGCAACTGATCAATAAACGGAGCGTCGACTAGCAACTTCTTTAGAAACCGCCTACGTTAACAGGCCCTTTAGAGGAGTTAGCCAGCCACCTAAACCCCGCGTTTAATTCATAAACGCGTGGGAAGCCAAATTTCGTGCCTGTTCCAGTGTCACTTGCGAAAGCAATAAAAAAACCAATGTCCTCGGCCTTGCTGGCATATCGAGCCAAACTGTGTACCAAATCCTAAGGCCCATATGCCTGCGTGTAGTCAATCCGTCCGTTCGATTTCTGCCTTTTTTAGTCACGAGTGCCGATGTCAAGGAGACTAGTATCAAATCAGAAGCAAATCGTCTTGCCCAAGGGGTTCGCAAAATATAGGTGGAATAAAAATATATAACGCAATGTTTGACCCCAATGATTGGTGGAAAGTCGGTCTGTGCCCCACGAAGGAGTTGTTATGCCAGTAAAGCTGTTTAGATGTCGAGAACGCCTTGCACTTTTTGAGCCATGTGCATGCCCTTTTTGCGTTCCGGTTGACCTGTCGCAACGCTCACTCTTCCGGCCCTTGTCGCGTGTTCACGGCAACATTAATGACCGCCCTTCGAGTGAAGTTGAACCGGCCTCGTAGACTAAGGACTGCACGGCCAGGGATGCGCTCAGAGTCTGCTTTCACCTCGTCAGCATATCATTAGTTGGCAGACTGAGCGCCGTCACCTGCTAGAGTAATTCTCGAACGAGATGTTGTCCGGGACCACTTTGCCGTCAGGTTGGCCTAACACATGGCCCAGCTGTCTCGACCGGCTAATAACGGGGATGCAGTTGACTGGTTGTTTTCTCGCCAGACAACATTGTCGTTCGTTGGAGACGCGATCGGGAAGACGAATCTCAAGGACTGAGCGCAAGCATCGTCCGTCGAGTATGTCCGACCATGGGTATCTTCTGGGTGCATGAATCATGTTCCGCATCCATGTAGGAGAATTTCTTGATGTGGGTGTCGTATGGTCGCGGCTTGGTTTTCGAACTGGTTTCGCACCCCCTGCAGAGGTTTGATGAGGTCAAAGGCCGCCAGCATCAAATAAACCAGGTTTCATCTTTACCTTGCCCACTTGCGAGGCAGTTCGGCTCATGGTAGCGACTGTCCACCTGTCCAAAAGTTTTACATTTTACTGTGACGAGACTGCCATCTCGGACCGCAAAATCGGAGATGGTTGAGATTTTTTGGTGAAATCGACCTTCAAGTCTACGTTGACTGCCTGCACACATACCTGGAGCACCAAACGCTTTATTGTTGCAAGGAAGCTCTCCAGCACGGAAACTTCATCAGCGCGGTCAAGACGCATAATGCAGAAACTACGACGGGCAACAACGCAGTGGTGCACCGGCGCGTGTTAAAGAACTCAATCTGTCGCGCAGTTGAACATAATAAGTGAAAAAAACGCAGTAGTGACGGACGCCAAAGATGAACTCAGAGAGGTCGATCTTGGCGTCTTCTACACCAGTCTCCATTCTTGTTTGGTGGAACGTGATGGTAGTAGAGAATCAACCACAAGGAATCCTGCTGTGTAGAATAGGACGCAGAAGCGAGACGCAGGAGACGGACGAAAGTGACGGCATTCGAAGGTTTAGCAAGGCCAGGTGAGGCAGGTCATCCTTCCCGGCCCCGCCAAGGAGTGCACTGATGTCTTCATTCTGGCCCGCGTGGATTTAGGTGGCCATGTAACCAGTCGGCTAATCCGTCGGAAAATTATATATCACCATCGTCTACTGGTAACAGCTGAAGTAGTAGGGTGCGTGACCCAGCACGCTGTTTACTTTTCAAGCTGCCTTATGCACCCTGTGGCGCTTTCGCGTCGGTGTGCTGTACATCGATGATTTTGGATGCGCTGTATCGAGTTTGTCTGGTAAGGTTTCCGGCCGAACACAATGGATTTTGGTTTTGGACTATCCTAACCATGCTGGAGGTGGTGCCTTATCCAAAACGCTTTTATGGAGATGTGCCTTTTGAATTACAGTTCGTCCTCCACATTGACCTTAGGCCTCTTAAAAGCGCAGCTAAATTATTGTTTTACGCCGATATCAAGTCGTTCCTTAGTATACAAGAAATGTTTCTTCAAATTGGCGGCTTTGTTTAGTCTTCCTTGAACTGCAAACGTCAATAGCACCGATAGTTTCTCCGCCGCTGGCGACGAGACCTGAGCCATTACGGTTCCACCAGGGGTGCACTGGCAACTAGTCCGCAAGATTGTTTTTGATGAGGCAGATTACTGTAATACGTACCTCCCTCTTCCCATTCGCACCGTGTTTAAATGACATGGCAGGGCCAAACGACCGTAAGTGGTCGTGAGCGCAGCAAATGATGGACTTAATTGGTCCCGCTCGCTTCCCCTTCTGTGTCTCGGCAACCTTTCCGAAGTTAGATTAAGGCAGTGACCGACGTGACCCGGAATCTCCCTCTAACGTATGCAGGACGAGTTATGGAATCTGAAGCATGCCACAAAAGCCACATTAAGAAGGAGCTATTGCAGGCCGACCCTCGTTTCATGGGAAGGCTAACTTCTGTCAGCTGGCAGCCTTCCAAGTCACAACTTAGAGCGCGTCATGATAGGTTCATGCGAGTCAGGTTCATTTAAGCGAGAGTTGCGCCGAGTTGCCATGATAGTAGTATCAGTCCCATTTCAGTTACCTGTTCCCATTCACCATCGACCTGTTCGACCCGGTGGGCCGGCTCATAATGAAGTAGAGGCAGACTTTGAATAATTCCTATTGACCCAACTGTGAAAAACTCGGCGCCTCGGTGGGATTCGAACCCACGCAGTAAGGGGAAGGCTTTGGTACAGCCAACACTCAAACCACTTGAGCTACGAGGCCCCGCCGGACGACGCGAGTTTAATCACATTCGGGTCATGTTTACCCGTCCAACCAACTGCAACATCTGGAATTCACCAAATCTGATACAGTAAGTTGACTGCCCAAGCAGAATTTCCTAAGTAATTCACCTAGAATCCACCAGATGACTACCAGGCTCACGCAATTCATATAATTACTTACTTAGGAAATCCTGTTTGGGCAGTCAACTTACTGTATCAGATTTGGTGGATTCCAGACGTTGCAGTAGGTTGGGCGGGTAAACATGACCCGAATGAAATTAAACTCGCGTCGTCCGGCGGGGCCTCGTAGCTCAAGTGGTTAGAGCGTTGGCTGTACTAAGGCCTTCCCCTTACTGCGTGCGTTCGAATCCCACCGAGGCGCCGAGTTTATAACAGTTGGGTCAATATGAATATGAATGGGGTAGAGCGCAGTGCCTGGTGTGTCCTAAGCGTAATATGGTAACTTGGCAGGTTACTTGTCCGACACTTCCGACAACGGTCTATATCACAAGTTAGAGCTCTTAGGATTACAGTTAACCAGACATAAGCTGCATTTAATTATGTACCCGACTTGTCTCAGCTAAATGTGTTTGCCCCTCTAGAACTTCAGGATGCATTGTCTGCAAAAAAATTTAGCCCAGGAAAGCAGCGCTGCGAATTTGGCCCTTTGACTTTTGTTGCGAAACCTTGCTTAATTGGATTTAGTTAGGTATTACGTTGTGTTTGCATACTTCTCACAACATGTCAGTTGTTGCTAACCTTGGATGACAGCATGCTTCCTTTAGAGTTGTTGGCAGAGAGTCGTCAGCAGGTTTGTAGACTTGAATTGTACCGGTGCACTATGCAAACAGATTCATTGCTCATATCCAGCTTCAATTAGGAGTACATCAAATTCGTAATGTAAGGCGCCCTGACTGCAAGAGTGGTGTTTGCCTTTTTTTCTTCAGGTACGGGCCAAACGTATGCGTTCAGTTCGAGGACATGGCAAATCAGAACGGCTTCCGGTTCCTTGAACGCTATAGAAAGGACTACGTCGTCTTTAATGATGACATCCAAGGTAGTTGTATTTTACTCGAAGTCATTGGGCAACTGACTTTTTCTGTAGAAATATCTTTCACCAAAAAGCAACCGTAGCATTGTTATGTTTACAGCCAGGTTGCCCCATAGGTACCCGTTTTTCGTAAGTCTACCTGAAATGTGAACTTCACTGGAACCAGAGGTGGAAATGTGTGCATTTGTCGGTGCACGCTGTAAAGGCTCAACTCGCCCCGGGCGCGCCATCCACCCCTCTCCCTCTCCCCCCCCCTTCCTCCCACCTAAGCGGAAATCTGATTTATTCATGCCTCAGTCGGTCAGCGTTGCACTTTAAACTGCAGCAAAACAACTTGCGTCGTACAGAAACTTCCGCTTTTGGTGCCAGGACTGTTCACACAACTCCATCTCTTAATTGCGGAAATTTTCTGTTGGTCATCAAAAGGTTTACAATGAGAAATAAATGCGCCGCGGATGCCGCAACATTCATAGCGCGGCGTAGTCCGGAATCTGTTTATATTAGAGTGGCTCATTAGCGCGATTTCCTCCTGTTCTTGTAATCAAATACGCCCGTCCCATGCCATCACCCCCCTACCCCCACACTTTCTTTGTTCAACAGATTTGATGGGCTTGCCGAAGGGAATATGCGGCGTGAGCGTCACAACGTCCGGTCCTGAAACATATTTTGAAATGCATCTACATAATGTTTTGCCTGTTGTTGCGAACTCACGAAGACACTGAAAGCTAGAATGGCCGTCTCTGACTGAGTAGCCGTCATCAGTCAGTGGTCCAGAAATTCGCAGATGCAGACCTGCCCCAAGCCTTCAACCTAGATCCAGTGGGTCACTGGCCTCTGTCCACTTAGCTGCCGAGCGGAATTTTTGGTTTTTAGGTGTATGTAATGCCCAGAATCCTACCTACCTGGTGACGTGTTACCGCCTACCCATTCGACAAATACTTTGGCGTTCTTTTAAAGCTTGAGTCCTAGAGTTCCCTGTGTAGGAATCCGTAATTCGACAATATTTCGAGAGGAAGAGTAGTTCAAATGAGGAGATTTGAAGATAAAAGAACAAGAAAACAACCAAAAACGATAGGTGCGCAGCGCAGGTTGAGATATCGTCCTGGAGAACGCAAAGTCCGGTCACTGGGAGGAGAATTGGAACAAGCATCAGCACTTTTTCAAGGGGTAGCAAATGTAGAACCACGAGAAATAACAGCGTGTTACATGAGAAATCGAGAAATTTGGCATATTACGGCTCAGCAATTTCTACAAATTGCACTTGTTATCAAGGGCATTTTCCTCTCTTTTTGTGCTGCCACGCTTTACGACTCAAAATTCCTGTGCGGTCTTTCTTTCCTGGTATCTGTTCCGGCCGTCTAGTGAAACCTTGCAGATGGAGAGAGGCCTGTTTAAGGGACACACTAGTGGGTCTCAACTACTCCCATTCTTTAGTATTTATCAGTGCTCCCAACGGGCATTATTTTCAAGCGGTCTGACGACTGACGCACTTCCAACCTCTGGCGTGCGTCCACGCCTGGACAGTGTTCGCTACATGCCTCTGCAATTTCCCACCTGCATAGACCGCCGTTTGCGTGCGTGCGCTCTCTGGTGACTCATCAATTACAGTCTGCAAAGCAGGCGTGCTAACCAGCACACAACCCCTTGCCTTTCGTCGAGCAGACTTAAAAAGTGCTAATGGAATCAGGTCTGCAGTCGGGGGGGGGGGGGTGGTGCAAGACCGCCCTGCTAGGCCGTTAAGCTCCTGGCCAGGGACAAACTAAGGCTGACGGTTCGATGGTCGTTCTCACTGCGGGCCACCGTTGTTTCTAGGCGCAGTTGTCGCCCCTGCGGCGCCTGCTTCACTCTTCCCACATCTGTCATGTTCGAATAGCAAGACAGGTAGGCTTGGATCAGTCACAGGATTCTTGTCCAAGAGGAGGCGCCTGTGCAGTTTTCTAAAGATCACCGTTTTTCACAGCAGAAATACCAGCGTTAGAGGCAAGGCTTGCGCCTAGATCACTCCTTCATTAGTTTCGCCAAGATCGTTCGTGGAGACATACGCACTTCTTATCTGCCGTTTTGACTTTATTACGCTTCAACTGTCATCACTATCTAACACCATTTTTTCTCTTCCCTCCATCCCGTCTCCCCTGGTATAGGTTTGTTTGTTTGTTTACATACCGTTTTGTCTTAATTGTTGAGGTGTTTTGGAGTCATTACTTGACACTGTACGTTTTGTTTGCTTTCTGGTCCGGAGAAGTGTTTTCTAAGTGTTCATCGTACGTGGTTTGCACGTTGTTCGGAAATCTGGGGGACTAATCTTACCCCCGATAATTACCTCACACTTTGGTGTCAACTCGCATGCCTCACCCCCCTACCATTCCGTCGGCAGTTTGCCAGCATTTTTCGCTCACTGTACATTCTCTAACACCTCGCTCGCACTCGGTCAACGCGCATGTCACACGTTAGCCACGCGAGGGCGTTTTACGTTGCGAGTGAAGGACGCAGTTTCCGCAGCGGACAAATGTCCGCTGAGTTCTGGAATCTAGCTTCTTCTATCGTTCGCCAAATAGCCATTCGTCGTAAGTGGTCAGACAGCGATAAGAACACTTTTGACAGCGATCAAGAACATTCAGTTTTGTGAACGTAGCGTGCCACAGTTCCACCCTGATTGCGGAGGATAAAGTGACATTCCTGTTTTACCTTGAGGTTCCGAGTTCAATGCCCACACATGGCCAGTATCAGTCACCAAGTTAGAAACGTGACCAACGAAAATAGCCACACTGGTATGGCCGTTTCTGATTTATAGATCGTTGTCAGCTATCGACATGTGCTGGCCGAAAACTTTTATTTGATCCCGGACGCGTTGCCTGCGAGCTGGTTAGGCCAACCTGATCGTAAAGACGACAAAGGAAGTTGAGCGATTTCAATAGTGATCATACAGCTGGCTAATAACATAGAATCGTAGACGTGTACATTTTATTTCGAATCCACTGGACAAGAGCGGGCATAAGGCCAAACACAAAGGCTTCTCAGAAGATGCGATCACTGGAACAAGAGGTTTTTTGTCCCGAGCGTTCAGATTGTCACTCCAACCCATCTTCAGAGACAGTCGCAGACCCTTGATCTGCTATTTGGAACGCCTCTTCGCATCTATCGATAAGAGTTTTTGACTAAGATCCATTTATTGGCGTTTTGACAGCTTTGAATAGTTCATTGGACCCACGACATCAAGGGCAAGGCGTGAGTATCTGTGATGCTCTATTCAATTGAGCCACGACCCCCCCCCCCCGGGGAGCCGTGAATCTAATCACATTTGGTCAGGTTACCCATTCAATCTACTGCAACGTATGGAGTCCACGGTGGGGCCTCGTAGCTCAGGCGGTTAGAACGTTTGCTGTTCTTAAGCCTTGTCCTTGTTGTCGTTGGTGCAGCGCAAGTCTGCCCTCACTATAAACCCTGCTCCCACCCTGCTGTGGAGCACACGGTGGTCATCGTCGAAACCGACGGTCGAACTCTAGGGTGCGAGTCCCACCAAAGCCGCCGAATTTTTCGCAATTGAGTCAGACGAAGGATCAATTAGTAAAGGTCGGAGGTAAAAACAGGGTCTACAGTTTGGGCGCCGTGATTTCAGTGTAACACCAAATCACCGACCCGTAGACTAGCGATTTCTCCGTGCAGTCTCAAGGAGCACAGTTGATTAGAACTTACGTCTGCTTCTTCATCGTGGGCCGTCTTCATTATACTGAACGAACAGATTCCCTCTGGCGTTAACAATTGAGCCGTTTGGTCGTACTGACGTGTTTTCGACTCAGAGTATGCTGGTTTGTATGTGTTTGCATCACTTCCGTGACGTCAGCCAAAAGTTGCTCATACAGTAAAACGTTTCGGATTGGAAGTCACTTGACGACTTCGACAAAAAACTGTTGCGCACATACTTCTTCTTTCGCATCCCTTTCTGACTTTTGGCTGTCTTGAGGTCTAGTCTTGATAAATTTGTTCACTCACATCCCTCAAGAAAGGCCGTCGCGGCGCTTTCCAAATTAGCCGAATGTCAGTTGTTGCAGGAAATTCAAAATGGTTGACTCAGCGTTCTAGAAGAAAGTTTGCTACTATGTTTTAGTAAGTAAATTCGTCCCTGATTACTCCCATAGTTAGTTGTAACAGGATTGAACATCCAGAACTGGTATCGTGCACCTTATTTTGTTCGCAGTTAGTGTAAACACTTAAGCCTTCATAACAGAGGGGATGGCGTGTTCTATGCAAGCTGCATTCATGTGATCTAGGCATCCGCACATTTCTCTCAACTATCCTCGGCCTCGCTTTTAGCATATACAACTGTGATGTTTTTTATAACGATTCATGAGATTGGTAGTTTATTTGGTGCATCACTTTTGGTAAGAGACGGACCACACTATGGGCCATGTGAATTCATTGATCCTAGTTTTGAACGGGCCAACATTCCAACTGACTTTTGTAATCTCCGTACAGAGTTTACTCACTGGTTCATGCCCACAAAGAGTAAAAGCACATAGACGACAAGACCACGCATGTCCTGTCGAAATTACAAAACTAGTTGGGTGGGGCTTTTTAGGTCAATGCATACTCATCCCCATGCTTTTCGGGCCGCTGGCAACAGCGCCTGCTAAGGGGCTCAGACATTTTAGTTACAGGAGTGCACAAGTTACCGGGACGAGGGCGGTGGCCCAAGAAAGTGGGACGGACGTTCGCCGGGTTTTTAGGGTTAGTAGAAGGTGGGCCAGGCAGTTGGTCTAGGTACTTATCATTCAAATGTGAACAAATTGCGTGTGGCCGTCTATTGTTACCTTTAGGGGACACTTTTTCGCCGCATCCTCACACACACTGCAGCGCAGAAGCCGAGCAGCTGCGGGAACATAAAATCCTATGGCACCTCTTCCTTGCCAATGGATATCCACACAGTTTTGTAAACAAATGCTTGTACCAAAGACACACGAAGACAGACGGTGAGAAGAAACAAAGACCAGAAATCTTCTGTGTTTTGCCCTATGTGAGTAACGTCTCCGAAGTCGCTGAGCGCATGCTAAGACCGCTAAGCGTGGGCGTTGTACACCGGCCGGAGACCACCATCCGCCGCTTAATCATGCAGCCCAAGGGCCGGCTACCACCGGCAGACACGTCAGGCGTCATTTACCGCGTCATGTGTCTAGACTGTCTAGCCAACTATTGTGGCATGACCAACAAACGCCTAAGAACGCGCATGCATGAGCACACTTTGGCTGTAAGGGGAGAGGATGTACGATCGCATGTCGCCGTGCGCTATCTGGAAAATAATCACAGGTTCGACTTCGACGGCGCCCAAGTGCTCGGCCGAGCCGAAAGCAAACTGGCGAGGGAAGTAATCGAGGCCTGGAAATCAGACAGCAGCTCGATCCACCGCAGTATCGATTTGCCAGCCCCATACGAGGCCGTCAGGCACCATTTACGCACGAGAGGAGGGCCAATCAGAAGAGAACGGGACGAACCTATCGGATGCGAGCGCAGATGGCCTATTTAAACCCTGTATTTCTCACTTAGTCTATCTCCGATTATGTGCTCGAGCATGAACACAAAATGTCAGATGAATAAACCTTCTTCAGGAATGAGCGCACACCGACCTATTGGCTCCACGAAGCGAACAAGCCCCATATGGGTGGCAAAGGTCACGAACAGGCAACCAACTACCAGCCGAAGTCGGCCAAGTCATAATAGTAGCGAGGAGGCACGACAGAGACTACCAATAGATTGATGGAGTACGGTTTGGGCCTATTCTGCCTTCATTCGGTCAATCATAATCTTGGCCACCAGCTGGAGCTAAGAACACAAACCTGCGGACGCACTCGACGCAGATGGTCCACCACCCGCGCCTACCGGATAGGTCATTAGCACTTTATCAAACCGAAGTCCATTAGCGCCTCGCTACTTGCTATTCTCTGTGGAGCGGGGCTGTGGGAGAGTACTAGGTCCCAGATCTTGATTAAATGGCGAAAAATAAGTTTTAGAAAAGAAACGCTCCTACGCTGTTTTAATGTTGGAACACCAGGTATCCATCCGGTGAAGCATAGTTTGGGGCGCCACAGGCCGACGCATTCACAAACCATGTTTGGTTTCTCAAGGACATACTGACTGGTTGTCATTTTACGTGTCACTTTTTGTTTCGTCTCCGTGACTGCATTACAATCGGATTACTCTCGGAGTTTTTTTTTCTTCAAAGGTGCCGCGGCAGTCGCCCTGGCTGGCCTTATTTCTAGTACTAAAGTGACAAAGACTCGCTTGGTGGACAACAAGTACCTATTTTTCGGCGCTGGTGCGGTAGGTTTTGCCTATTTCCCAAGGTCCTTTGTATTTCCCCAACCCATGAATAAGAAATTTCCTTCAAGATGCTACTAACAAATGCCACGGTGGCGTTCTGCTGAATAACGCAGTTTGCCTGATTAAAGGTGAATACAAACTAGGGGTTCCTTCTTTAGGAGGAACCCTGAGGACTGTATTTTTCAATAATTTTGATGTGCTATTCATATGTTTATATCCCAATATCGCCCGTTAGCCAGCTTTAACCTTGAGGTAGGAAGTCGAAGTCATAGTTTAAGTACTTTGCAAACGTTGGAACTGAAAAGTGTAGGCTATAGCCTTGACCAGAATTGTGTGTTGTTGTCACGTATGAGGATGTCTCTGATGCCAACTTTACCCTGAAGCTCACGACTAGCCTGAAGACACACTTACGGCCTTCTGTGTTGTTAAAAATCGCGTGAACTGCCAGATATCCGGTGTTCCTACCCTTCTCTGATTTACGATCTATATTATCCAGGCATAATTTATTTTCACTTGCATTGAAATTTAGCCGAACTGTTGGACAGTTGTGTGAACACTCAGCCAATAGTTCTCCGCCCGAGTTTTCTAGCCTAAATGCACGATCTCGTGTGCGCCCCCGATCTCGTCGTTATTCTCGACTCTCTCGTTGCCCTTGAGATTTCGTGGTCGCCATTTGTAAGCTCTTAAGTCTGGCAAGAAACCGTGGATGCTTATCCCTACAGCCCGCGCGCAAAATAAACTCGCCTGTAGACTACTCTCTGATGTTTTATTTGGAGGACGTTCTTTTTCCGTCATTGTACCGCGTTCTATTCGATACCTTGCGGCCCAGGATCGCGAACATGTGCACTGCCCTTTTTTCCAGGCTGTGTGACGCGTATATTTTTGGTGGAAAGAACAACCACGTGTTCAGCTCACTGTTTCACACGGATCCCGGCTACCTTGATCAAGCCCAAGGCATTGTTTCGGAGTCTGACCAAGTATTTACTTTAGTGTGGCAGCCTGCGCACATGGGACTCTGGCCCGTGACCAAAAATGACCACAGCACCTTGTAACCCACAGTCGTTTAGAGCCTCTGTTCATTTTAACCATGGGTGGCAAACACACATGGTTGAACGACGATCTTCAGAATGTCGTGGCTTTAAATAACCATCCACGTAGCTCTCCACTTCAGCTATATCTATAGTTGGCCAGTAGCGTCTCGGTAGTAGGGCATATACAGACCCTCGGTAGTTGTGTCTTTGGGATGCTCTGCATCACAGGAATGAAAGTGACCCAACCTCTTCCCTGCCTCCAAGTACACATGCGACGGCTGAACAGTACACGTCCTCTATGTATAGCGGCTATGGCTTCCCAACTGCTGATTTACCTTTGTGATGTGACATTAGCTTCATTTTTGACCAAGTCACTGACTCGCATCACATTCTTTGAATTGATGTGCTAAACTAGTTGCTTAAATCATGTGCAAGTTACCACGGCACTCAAGTCTGCAGCGTTCCGATCGAACACGACGGGTGACCTTTCGCGAATGTACCTATTAAGGAATTCTCTATCTAAACATCTTTGCTTACGCAAAGCCCCCACCTCAAACCAAACAGTTTTGGTAAATTGTCTCATCTCCCTCTGTTTGCCAACACCTGCGGCGCTGAGGTGCATAACCCCTAAATGTTTATGGTGGAAAGAGCACAACGATACTATGGATGTCGCATAGGGTAGTAGGAAATCACGCAAAGGCGTAGGATCATAAATTCCTTCCCCATGTGTCTTTTTCCGTCTGTTGTGTTTTAGGAGGATTTCAGTAAATGCGTAGGATTGTTTACGTTGATGGCCGTGCCATCCAGACTTCGACACTTCACACATTTTCGTCTGTTGTAAATCTGAACTTTAGCATATAAACAAGTGGTAAACGAGCCAACTTTTCAGAGGGGTATTGGTCGCTATATAAGATGAAAGGAAAAGCTTTAGAACCCCTACCTGCACCAGCTCGTCTCCTCGGTTTTCCACCAACGAGGCGTCCAAAACACAGCATTTATCCATCGCCATCTCCATCTTGTGTCTATTATTTTCGAATCGTTCAGATTGACAATCGTCATAGCCAGCAGCATCGGAGAGCTAGTGTGTACATAAAACAGGTGTCCGAGTGGTGCTGTCTTGCGGCTCTGTGCATTTACATAAAGAAGTTGCCTTTGTGAGCAGGTAAGTTGTGAAATACTTAACAGTACCGTATCCATGAAGACCGGCTTAAAAGCAGACTACATTATGGTATTATTAAAATGCAATGAGTATCCGCTGATATTCGCGTGCAACTACCTTGCGATTGCATCGACAACGATCATGTAGAACGAAAGTCACTGGGCGGACCAGAAATATTTGGCATTTTCTCTCATAGAAGGAGCACCTGAAGGCTTGTTACGACAAATAAACCGTGCGAGCATCCACGTTGGGCTCACATGATAAGAAAGTTGAAACATAATCGGATACGATCTTGAACTGGGAGGTTGTTGGCACATGGCTGAGCAGGCAGCTCAGCGCGCCATCTGCCGTTGAGCAGTCATCAATTAGCGAAATCCACACCCAGTTCCCTCTGTTACCACAACAACCAGTCAGTCCTCGGGTCTCTTCCCAAGGACGAACAGACTATGTCGGCTTTCTTAATTCGTCCGCGTTTCTATCCCTAGCGTAGGGTAGTGTCCATAGAGCAATCGTGATAGCGACTGATAGATCTGCTCCCTTCTTGCATATCAATTGTTGCACCTACTACAACTATACTGCCGGATCCGTCTCACCTGACGGACGTCCACCTAGACTCCAACTACTCACAGACACGATTTCCTGCGAAACAACAGTAGGAACCAGGCGACGCTTGGAGATAGTACAAGAAGACATGCATAAGTTTTGCGATCTTTTCGTGAGAACGGTCTACATATGTTCACATCAGTGGGAACGATTTAAGGAGATCGTATATCTGGAGGAATAGGAGGGGGAAAACTGTGTACTATTTAGACCGGATACAAAGGATGTATGACATACCTTTTCATGATGTTGTTTTAAGCGCGAGAGAAAATAATAATGTGTTTGGAGCCCACCTTTATTACGTCTCGTGGAATATGCTTAGTTGGCTGACGCAAAGAACATTGGGTGCATTTCTGTAAAGGACCTGTAGGTAGTCAGTTGTTACAATTTTAAGATGAACATATTCGTGATATAGCAACTTCATACGTGAGACTTGTTTTCCACCATTCCCAAGTAATCAGTAGCAATTATATTAGAATTGCTGAAAAATGTCTGCCAGGCAACGAAGACAGTCTTGTTTGAAGTATCTGCATACGTACAGTACGTAACCTAATTCATAGAAGGTGTCGAAATTTACGAATGATTGTTAATCACTCGCAAACCGACACCAGTTTATGGGTCTAAAGAATTAAACACATCAAAAAATACTAACGGCAGTGTTGTGTTGCCTCGAAATGTCGTTGTTTTAGAAAAACGCAAAATCTTGAAAATTTCACAAATGACTGCAATTTAGTAAACTTCGTTTGTAGGCGTAAAGAATGCCTTCTCATGCAAAAAACGGAGTAAATATGAAAGTACAAAAATAACGTTTAAAAATAGTGTTTTAGTGTAGTTTGCATCTAAATATCCTTTAAGGATAAGTGCAATTTCATATATGGCGGTTTGTCAACAGCCTACATTCTGAGTATAGATTCCAAAACAGTTTTCCGGGAATTCGCGGTATTCTTAACTCGTTTGAGTTGAATGAGATGCGGTTTAACATGAGAAACGGAGTTTACTTGATTTCACCAATGGGGGACGTCGTAGAAGTAAATGTTTTCTTAAGGTCACATTCTGCCAGGCCGATTGGTAACTAATAAATGTAAATATAATTGACAAGCGTGGTCGTAAATACAACATTGTGCGTTTATAGAGGGAAATTTTCTTCCGTTAAATTAATTTGCACTTTTCGTTAGTTTTGGATTACGTCGAATTTCAGATTGGCCTTGAAATGTTGCTAAATATTTCATGATTTTCGGTGTTTTCTCCCGGTCGCCCATAAAGACAGATTCAGTATCCTGTATCTGTTGGAAACTTTAAAATAAGATACCTTTCGGAGGCCTTTACCGAAGTAGCGAGTGTTTGGGCGTTCTTCTTCATGAAGGATGTCGTTTGGGTCACATTTGAAGACTCATTCAAACATGAAACTTCATTTTCGAATATGGTGGTCGTCCACGACGAAAGAAAGGACCGAATCTGTCTTCGATCAATTAGAAAACTTTCTCCTACGAGTTGCCTCTTTAAGCAGTGCTTTAATGCTGTACTTTGTTGACGGAACTCTGTGTTCTTTGCATTTTTGCAAGGTGAGGCCAAGAATATATTGCAATGTCCATTCATGAACATTTACTTGATATAATTACGTAAACACAATTTCTGCTCAAGAAAAGGACATTTTACTGAAGTGGCTGGATGAGCAAACAAAATGCGCAACGTTTAAGACTCCCAGACATTCTACAATTAGTTTCCGTTATCAGGTTTCATGAGATAGGTCACGTACTGTATGATTGTGCAGCACAGTTGGAATACATGTACTCCCCCGACTTTCGGTTACACACTACTGTCTTCGCGCCCCCTCCCTGCCCAAACGAGTTCCGCTGCTGTTTCGCCAGACCAAACATTGGCTTATGGCATGCATCAGTCAGTTAACGCTGAGTCTGCATGGGTCTACTTATTGTCGTATATGCATATGGTACGCACCAGAAAGAGGCCCACGTTTTGCCAGTCATTTCGTCAAACGGCATCGCCAGTCGATCAACGAGCTCAAGCAGACCTCTAATGCTTTTGGCAGCGAGGAGGGCTCGAGGTCGGTTCTATTCTTTGTGGAAACCCAGCACACCCTTCCCTGTGATAGAGCTGCGCGTTTAAAGACATCACGAAGGCTGTCCTGGAAGGTTGAAAAATGATGAAATAACATGATCACCCTCCGTGCTAGGGACCAGACTATGGCCTATATGTCGAACCTGTTCCACGCGAGATCCAAGACTTTCCCTTTAAAAAGTTCGGGGCCAGTGCGTGCGCAATGTGCGTGTACTGCCGCGTTCATTTCCGTCTGTCTTAACTCCTACTTTCTATATAAATATAGTAGATGTGGAAGGGCGAATGAGATAAATGCGGCGCACAGAAACCACAACTGCGCCTTCTCGGGGACGGTGGTGGTCTTCGTACTCTGCGATGAGCGAGCTCTCATTAATTCCTTCCGTCGGATACTATCCGAATAACAGAAGTTAGCCTCTTATTGTGTCATCTACCGTTTTTATTGCAGAACGCAACGGGAATCGCCAGCATTCTTGTAGCTGCTATGAAGGATGAGGGCGTCTCCGAAGCCGAGGGTCGATCTCGCATCTACATGATGGATTCTAAGGGTCTCCTCGTCAAGGTATTACATTTATTTTCGTTAGCAACAATATCTAATTATATAATCCCACGATTCAATGAATTTAAAGGCCTATGTACATCTGCTGTCATTCACGTTTTTCTATGTCATTTATCTAGTTTCATATCGGCGTCACTTTTCGGTATATTTTAACATACTCAGCTCTGGCACTTTTTCACAGAAGCTTGCCTGATTTGTTATGCATTTGTACAGCAAATGCTCTGATGCTTTCCCTTTCTAGGCTCGATCTGGTGGAGTTGTGGAACCGCATAAGCAGCCCTTTGTTCGTGACGATATGGGGCCGGTTGAACGGCTAAAGGACGCAGTCACCGCCATTCGTCCGTCCGTTTTAATCGGTTAGTCAGCATTCATGTATTGCAAGCACCTTAATCACTTTGTTAAACCAAGTCTTCTAAGTTTCTTTTCGAGGTTCTCTCCAACCCTTCGACAAAATTGAATTTAAACATCTGTGACAGTAACAGAAAGACAGTATTGTCTTCTAATTCGCTGTGTAATGGGTCATCGAATTTTAAGAAGAGCAGTTAAATTTGGTTTGCTTCCTCTGTGGTCTCTTCATCTCATATGCGCGCGCCGGCGCCCTTCCAAGATAAGCATATGTTGGCTCAAGCGTTATTTTCTTGGTAGTCAATCTGGTGGCAAATTACGAGACCAAGACCAGGTTAGTTTTGATTCGGCAGAATATCCTAGGTTATGCGCATTTTGTTCCCTAAACAACGATAGGCGCAGTTGGTGTCCGATGGTTGTGCACCACACTATCTACCGTTACTTTTAAGTAGACGTTTTGTTCTTGCCAACGTTTTCAAATTGATGAAATCCCTCCAAAGCCGACATTTTCTTCTCAAACTGTTTCTCTGATTGGCTAAGCATCTTTTCACTAGCACGAAAATTTTCGGGCTATCGTAGCTAGTTTCGTGTTCTGCCATCGACCAACTTAACGGAATTATCCTAAATAGGTAACGACGTATAAAATCCGTAACAGACTTATTTTTTTAAACAGAAGACGAAGACGCAATCACTGGAACGCAGGTATATTAGTCTGAGCTTTCGAGCTCGCACAGAAGTCCATCATCGGAGACTGTGAGCGCAACCATTGAACACATTTGTAGTCGAACACTAGGGTGGGGAGGAGGGGCAGTGTCCGCGACCGTCGGGTTCGCGCTGCCGGTCTCGCAGTAGTCTCACAGCGTGTCGATGGCATGCCTCTTTGATGGGGAAGTTAGGCAGCGCCACCTGGCTGCGTGGGCGTGGAGCATTGTAACACGAGGGTAAATCAGGTCGGATGCAGTTATGTAGCCCCACCTGAAGTAACCAAATCCCAGTCACCTCTAATACGGGACCCGTGGTAAAGGAGGTTTTTACAGGTGGGGCCGGGGGACGCACAGGCGACGAGGTCAAGTAGTTGTATGCAAAAGAGAAACTATTGGGTATGCGCGGTTTTACTTTGAATGGCTGAGAAATAGTTGCGCTAACCCTTATTCCCAACCCCAACAGCATTGTGTCCAATAGGTGGGGCTACCAAACTGCATCATACCGTATATAAATTCGTCTGTTGATAAAGTTGGTCTGACACCCACACTCCCCACAGTTCTTGCCTCTTCTTGTTACCGGCTCCTCCAGTGTCCGCGTACTCGCAAGGTCAAACTCGTGGCCTTCCTCCGGTGTGTAAGTAGTGACTTGAGACACTGAGTCACCTCTCCGAACGACCCGTTTGTGTTCGAGTATTGACGACCCAAAGCATTGCCTTGTTTGGCTTGTATAGTGACAAAGACGGTCCTGGCACAGAATTTGGTAAACTACGCCCATATACTTACCTGCGCTAAGCCGGTCCGTTATCTGCATGATCCCGGACACATTGTTTATGTACGCCAGCAAGTGCCAAATTGGTGGTGCTTCTCTTCCGTTTGTTCGTCGTGGGCGCGTACTCATGCAGCGGATGAAGTTCTTTGGATAGCCGTCCGTGCGAATTGGTCCCTGAGATGGCGTAACTGTTGTACTCTTTCCTCAAGTTCAAAGAGCGCCCTGACAGCCACGTTTTTGTACCATCGGGTGTTTGCCAGTGGGATAGCTGAGGACCTGCGCTGTGTTAGTCACCTTTTCATACACTGTTAAGTTTACCACCGGATCCGCGCGTGACGAGCATGTCAAGGAGGGGTACTTGTTGGGACTTCTCTTGTGAACTGGACTTCGGGGAAGATGCCAATAAGGAGGTTATTAAATTTCGATAGCCCGTCCCTATCAGTTGTGACAAATGTTTTGCTCACGTAGCGGTGCCAAAACTCAGATTCATAGTGATTGACGGCGACATTTTCCAACGCTCGTAGGACCAATTCCGCAAGTGGGCTGGATATTGGGAAACTCATCGGTGTTTTTTGATTTGTTCGTATGTTCTGCCATCAAAGGTCAAAAAGGTTTGTTGGTGGAATGTAAAGAGTTGCAGTACATGCTCGATTGTTAGTGGTCAACCCCCCCTTTTGTCGTACTTCGAGCCGTTTGCGTAGAACGCCGCGCGCCAATTCTGGTGGGATGGATGTTAATAGTAAGACCACGTCATATGATACCATAATCTGGTCATGTAGGACAGTCTCTCCCCAGATGTCGGCGAGGAACTTGGAGCCCGAATCCATAGAGGTCCTGGGGTCCCCTCGAAGAAAGTTTAGTTTTCGGGCTCTCCATTTGGCCAAATTGTAAGTGGGCCGCCTTCCAGGGCAACGATTGTCCGCATTTAATCCATAGATCCTGGCCAGTGCTGTATCAGTTGGTTTTTGTCTGTCGCCATTCATCGAGCGAGATTACATTTTTGTTCTTGAGTCGGCTTAGGAGCCCGGTTAGCCGGCCGGTCATCAGTTTAGCCTGTGAGGAAGATGTGGATTTGTAGGATTGTTGGTCGTTGGGGAGAGCTTGTGCCTTCTCATTGTAGTCGATGCAGTTCATCAAGAGGTTGCTTTTTTGTCAGCCAGTAGCACTATAACGTCCTTTTCCATTTTTCATTTCGTTACTGCCTCGATTTTCGTGGGTGATATATTATTAGCGTGCGTGTTCATCATCAGTGGACGCATAGTGGATTTGGTCTCAGGCCTCAAAGGCAGCCGTGCTAAAATAGGCTTCGTGGCTCACCACTAAGTTTTTATTCGCTTAGCTGCTTCAACGGTGATCTGTGTACTGCATTTTCGTTGGTATTAACTTCGGGTTTCATTTTAATGAACTTTTGGTCTAGCTTTGTACGCTTCACTTCCTTTCTCGTTTTTGCCGGAGTGGATATCGTTCCGTCCAGGCAATCAGCAATAAATCCACCAAGCAATGCCGCGCACTCTGTCCTTTTTTCTTCAATGACAGTTCGGTACTTGCGTAAGCGCGGGTAACAGCCCTTGATCGGCACTCCCGTCATTTGCTTGCGAAAACGTATAATGCCTCCGCCCAATTCTGTATTCACTGGAGCTTTGTAACGAAGGTTCTTCGGCGTCAGTCCGTCACGAGCACATTTGTGTGGGGAGCGTAGCTTTCCATATGTTGCTTCCCCTCGTGTGGAGAATGTCTTCCAGCTGCGAACTGTGCGAAGCGCATCGCACCCGAAATTCTCACGGATGGGGGCGAATATGCGCGTCTCAGGTTCTTCTTGAAGGAAGACGACAGGCAGGAATTTGAAAATTATAACTGGCAATGGACCTCCCTTTTATCCTCGGAAATATGAATTCACGCAGAGGGTTTAGCAGGCACTAGCTGGTCCCAAAGCTCTGTATTACTCTTTGAGATTTTTTAACTTCGAGTTTCAAATTACCTTCTTATCCCTTAGGCGCGTCTGCTGCCCCGGGTACCTTTACTCGTGAAATCCTTAATACAATGGCAACAATCAATAAGCACCCTGTCATATTCGCACTCAGCAATCCCACGGAAAAGGCCGAGTGCACCGCCGAAGCTGCATTTAAGTCAACTGACGTGAGCCACTCCTTTCTGTATTTCAGTGGTTTCGAGGGCTACTTAAATTTATGTTTGCTTTTTTGTATCTGATGAATCTATCTGACTTAGGAATCGTTCCAACTTTTTACAATTATCTTGGTTTGCATTAAATACCTCGCCTGACTTATTGCGCATTTACTTAACTCGCCGTATGCTAATTTTGCAATTGTGGTTTGGCAGTATTATGGAACAAAATTGCTCATGGTCTTCTTGCTACTATCTGGAAATGCTGCATGTATTCTGTCATTTCGTTCAAAATTTAAATCACGTTCGGTGGTCTCACCTGATATCAAGAAAGGTGGGTGTATAGTTTCTTCGGCAAACCACCGTACAGTCATCACGACCCTTTGAGTACCAAATTGCTGTAGTGTATGTTTGGTAGTTTCGTCGACATCTAACTGTTGTCATTGTCTCCCGAATAGCATATAGAGTCGCCTTCTATTCACAGGCGGTAATTCCTTTTAGATAAAGTTCTCTTGCTTGTGATGATCAGGGACCTCCTGATGGGATTTTTGGTGTCCCTTCAATTCACGTAGTACCCCCATTCCCCAACTTCTGCGAGATGTAGGGGAACGGTTACACTGAAAACTCCTGAATCTTTTACAAGGGACCGAATAGTTAGTGAACTACTTTTAATAATAATCCTTAATTGATCCCTAACAAAACTGGGTCTTCCGGGAGATCTGCCTTCAAGGTTAACACAACTTTCGCGGAATTTCTGGAATCGGTGTTAAGTTGTCTGTTTGTTCATCCTTCCACGAAAAATTAAACTCATACGCTAGGATCCATGTTTCTTTTGTTGACAGCGTAATCAGTGGGACGGCAAAGTTGGTTGCCAAAAAAACTTTCCCTTTTTACGTCAAATTGACGACAAGGACGTGCTCTCCAAGTCGCTAGGTATTGCGACAGAATTCAGAGAGCAAACCTCATTGCAACGGACAGCACACAACCACGTTGAGAACCAGTGGAAACACTTACTCCGGGTATACGAGAACTGAACGATGGAGTGAGCGATGCAGCCAATCAGTCTGAGCCAAATTGTCAGTGGGCGTCATAAAAGTTAGGGCTTGTGTTTACGAAACTGACGGTCTGACCAATTTGCGTCTTCTATTTCTCTAACGCAATGATTTGGTGATACCGTCTGGGAAACACTGAGTCTAGACAACACGTCCTCACTGATGGACTTTGAACCATGTTAACTTTCACGGATGCAGGTCTCATTTTCTTCTGGCATCAAGAGGCCACAAGCCTCTGATGGGCTTGACTTGTAGTAAAGAGAAGCATGTGTTTCTTATAGTTTTCTTCATCCTTTTGTATTAGTCATTCTCCCACCGTCGGTTAATCCAATTTTTCTTTTCTACCCTCGCCGAATCTTAGTGTCGATGCATATTTGTCAGCGGATCGCCTTTCCCTTCCATCAGAACGCCCTCTGGTGGGGAGTTCTTCCCAAGTCAGGGCAACAATTACTACGTTTTTCCTGGTTTGGCTATGGCAATCACGTCTGCACAAATCCGGCCTGTCACTCAAGATCTCTTCTTGACAGCTGCTAAGGTGAGAGCAAAAGAGGGGGAACGTCTCATGCCTGTTTGCCCTCAATGCATTTGCCCAATTTCCGTTGAAGAAGTTTTCATGCGTGTTTTTTGTAATCTGTTCAAGCCTAGGCCAAATACTGCCTGCACTAGTTACGTCATTTATGCAATTGAGGCAAGGGGTGCATAAACCCTCCTTGCGGTTGTACGACACCAGTGTTGTTTTTGGCGCGGCTAACGAACTTTTAAGCCCGTTGGAATGTCCAAAAACTGAGAACCTCAACAATTATATGCGCCAGCTTTTGCAGCTGAACGCGGAGGTGACTAGGTCTGTAAGTCGTTTGGCATTGTCTATCAAAATCGTTGAGTCCAACCTTTCGTTGCTCAAAGTGTCCAACCAATGAACATCTACGCACCTAAGCACTATGAGTCGGTCCCAATGGCTGTTCTTCCCTGAAATGCCAATTAAGATAGTGGTGTGGAAAAAGAGGTCTGCTCGAGAAATAAACCGCTTATGCTAATATTCTTAGAAAAAAAGAGATTGGAGGACACTGGGGTTTTCAAATTAGTCCTCATTAAGGACGGTTGGAAAATGTGATGGATAATGGGGTGTGACGGCGTCTGAGGTCGGCGTCACGGTTTGAGTATTGGCTTGCGACTCTGCTGCAGCTTGCTTCGAACCTACGTATACTAAAGTTGGTTTTCCGCCGCGACCGGGTACTACTCGATCTTCGTGCTTGGACTAAAAATACTTTTAAATGTTCTTCCGGTTGGTGCTCCTTTTCGCTTGGGTCATTTTCCAGCCGCTATTGTCATGGCTGTGAGAAGTCCCGCTTCTATCTTACGTTCATGGGTTACCGAAAGGCCGTACTTTTCATGTTTCGTACGCAGCCGAGCGCAGACAACCAGTGCTTCAGGGAAAACTGTTTCATTGTTCGAGCTGATGACGTTTCCTACCTAAAATTGCTTTTCTTAGTCTTAGCCCTAGTTCCAGTAAATATGTAAGAAATATAGTTGTTAAATAGACACTCTAAAGAGAACGCGGAATGCGAAACTCTGTCATTCGATTACCATCCCTCATTCCCGGCAAGATTATCATCTTGCTGTTGTCATCATTGATGTACCTTTTGTTAAGTCTACCTCGCTTGATTGTCATAGATGGAGGCCATTATAGTAAGAGTGGTTGTATTCCGTCAATCAGTCAAAGTTGAATCGGCGGACTCTCCGACTGCATAGACTTCAGTGCATCTCTATGGGATACTGTACATAGATGAAAATGAGCCTATTTTGACTCGCGGAAATACTCAGCAAGTCCGTAGATCGTTTTATCTGCTTTTTGCACTCCGTATGCAGTCGAAAACCGGTTAGGATTCCTCTTACTCATTGTTGAGACAGCATCTGAAGTTAGCTATTCGCGGTCAGCGGTTATCGCACTTACTCGTCCCTAAAGTTTCATTTGTGCCTACTACGTAGGATCTAGATCTATGAAACACTGTTTGTGGTTATTAAAGTTGCAGGTGTGAACTTATCCAACTTACTTCCCAGAAACCGATGCTGCAGTCTTCACTGTATGAGTTTTTTAACTGGCGACCTAACTGCTGCGCTTACCAACCCCTACTCCACTCTTTTACCGAAATGACTTTTTATTGAATTATTCTTGGAAAGTTTTCGAGACTTTCGTGAGAAAGAGAAGTGTTTTATCCAAAATGCTTGTTGATGTCAGACTATCTGTGCTAATTTGTGTTCGGCAAAAAAACTTAGCTATGTAGTCGTCGACCGTTCTGACACAAACTCTGTTATTATTTTTTCCATGTCTGGGTGCTTTTTAGGCGAAACGTACGTTTAAATATCTTGACGCACTCGGTGGTTTAGTTTTTGGGTCAATTGTATAAGTGTCCAGTACCGAGATACGGAAAGTACCGGCGCAGATCTCAGTCGCCTGATTCACTCCTCTCTCGAGGCGTTTCGACTGCAGCGTTGATCCGTAAGCCCAGGCCTATTCACGTGAGAATTCTGACTGGTCTTTCAACGTGAATATTCATCATTTTTGAAGGAATTAGCCGAATACAAATGCAAATTTGTATCTCCGTCCTCGACCCTCAGGTGTCCGCGTAAAGTCGGATCCATGCATTCGTCGATTTTGTCCCACTCCCGTTCACCCTTTTTCCCATCCCCTTTAGTGCTCTCTAGCCACTTTTTTCTCGGCTGAAAGACCGACTGGCCTCGTGGGTATTCATAACTGTGGCGATTTTGTGTCGTCTTTAGCTGTACTAGCTCCTAGTTAACTACCCTCTTGACAAAATCATGTCATGATATTCAGCGGACAATCTGCGTAAACACCTTAAGGTCTCATGCCTCCCTTCCTCTCCTCATCTTAGGTTCTTTCGCTTCTATCCCGTCTAACCAAAAAGTACTGAAAAACAGAAGTGTGATTTAGACATACGAGCGTTGTTTCATATCGTTTTTGACTGATTTGATTGATTGCTTAGGAAATCCTGATTGGTCAGTCAGCTTGCTGTATCAGAATTTGTGAATTCCATACGTTGCAGTAGACTGGGAGGGTAACTTGACTCAAGTGTGATAAAGTTCGCCGCTTCCGGGCAGGGCCTTGTAGCTGCGATGGTTAGGACGTTGGCTGTGCACAAACGTCGCCCTTGCAGTCGTGGGTTCGAATTCCGATGAGACCGCTGAGTCTTCGCAGTTAAATGATATTGACCGGTTTCATGGTGGGAGCGGCAAGGAGAAACTGCGTGCAAAACACGTACCCTGCGTCTTTGAAGCAGGGCCATGCGTCGTCTGCTCAGCGCTTGCGTGTGTAATTTGAAGTAGGCCTTAGCTAAAGGAACCTAGCGGAGTCCTCATGCCCATCACGCCTGAGACAAATGCGTATTGATCCTAATTTATCAACATTCAGGACTGCTGTTGTTGTTGTTGTTGTTCTCGTCTTCCGTTTTTGATCGTTAAATTCGTCGGGCGTGCGTGGTTGACACTTTGGTTGGGGGAGTACTTTATCTCGAGGTTTTGTCCTTGCTGGCTTACAGTGTTGCGTCTCGGGACTGACCGCGTAAATCGCCAGCTCTTCGCCGTGACTAAACTCAGCTTCGTGTTTTTCGAACAGCTCGATCAGGTTCCTCCTTTTAGGTGCTAGACTGCCTGCTGGACAACTCTTCTAAGTAATCGGCTGCGTATGTGTAGGCGCTAATTCGTAGATCCTTTGATACGCGACCAGTCTCCTAGGAGACTTGGCATTCTTGATATATTAAAGTAAACATCTTTCGCGGAGGAAGGCCATACGCAAAGCAATGTTAACGCAGGCCCAATAGATAAAATAAATAGGACTTTTATTTGGCGACCTCACCGAAGTTGGTTGGGTTGGTCTAAAAGCGGAAAGGGCAGCTCCATCCTCAATTAGGCAACCTTCCTCCGCCAAAAAACGACTTTCCGTTTTCCCATGCTTGAATTTGGATGCCTCAAGTAACTGGAACGAGTACAAGAGGTCTACTATCCTGTTTAGCATCCGTTGAGCGATTTCTGCAGACATTGAGCGAATCGTATGTCCCGTTGATTCCAACTCGTGGTTTTAATTTTAATTCGAATCTTTTATTTTCATCTGTTACGAATTCCATATGCGCCTATCAACGGTCTGGTCAATTCTGCCCTCATCCTAGTGAACATCGCCCCTTTTACCATTATTTTTTATTAGTTGTGTGAATTCTCCCGGGAACTTGGCCGCACTTCCTTTGTCGTCGTTTAATTCCATCAGTAGTCGGTTATCGGTGGACACGCTTGGCGGAGCGTTCTCCGACACCGCCCACTTAACTGCTGTTGATAATGGACGCCTCATTCTATTGTTTGCACCCAGATTTGAGGCGAACTTTTTGATTTCACTTTTTTCAGCTTTAGAATTAGTCGTCTGATGGCAATAAGCTCACTTGTGGGAATTCAACAGAGCCTCTTTTGTTTGTCGGCGCCGATAGTGCGTACCGATCCTGTCGCTTTTTTCCGAAGGTCGCCTTAGATGCGCTTCGCCTCGTCCAAATTCGGGGCTTTTCTGAGATAAACAGACTACTGCCAACTACCACTATTACCATTATAACGAGTACTTATTCGTCTGCCGTTTATGTGGAAATATAAAAACCGCCCCACCTATCACGTCGATGTTGGTTTAATCACATTTTGCTTTTTCTCCAAGCAAGCCTACTCTTACTTAAAGTACCGCCATCATTCCCAGGTGACTATTGTCTTCCTACTTCTCCATCAGTCATGTTTTTCACATCTTGTCCCAGTGTTAACCTATCTTCTTAACCTTCCCTCCGGTGAGCCCAAGATGCCTGACGTACTGTTAGGATACCGCCTGTCGGTTGCTCATTAACTGTGCTGATGCTCATTGAACAAACTGCTTTAGGCATGAGTTACTTGAAGGTTGAAGTCTCACCTGACTAATAATTTAACTTCCGTTTGCGAATCGACCTTTTCCAACTTTTTGCTTGGTGAATGACAACTATAATCGTCATGATTGTTTCAGGTTTACAGCTGGTGTCGAGTGCGTTAGAAACTAACCAACTAGGGTTGTTTCCTCCGTAGTCTAAGTTATTACTTGATTCCTCGTTTTAGTAAGGAGTGCCTTTGGCCTTTCGACCCTTGCCGGCAGGCTTTGTACTAAGGTTAACTGCTCTCTGGTGTGCCATTGAATTTTACCCACGTTTGCACTTATACCAGCGAAAACTGCGAACTTGAAAGTGTAGCACATCTAAATAAATTTGCTTCCTACAATGGGGCTTCAAATTAAACCCATAAAATCGGATCATTTGCCGTTTTCTGATAGTCGTCCCTTCTCTACTCTCTAGACACTCGCAAACATGGTTACTGCCGACGACATTCGTGCTGGACGCATGTTCCCGCCAATTTCTAGCCTACGTGAAATTGCCCACAAAATCGCTGTGGAGCTAACAACCAAGGCCTTCCATGATGGTACCGCACAATATCACCCTGAACCACATGACAAGGAAGCCTTTATCAAAGCGAACACTTACGACCCCGCATATGTCGACTTCACTCCCGACTCGTACGAATGGCCGCAGGAGTGAATTTCCTCATTGTTTTAACTTCTTTGTAGGCCTATGTTGGGCAACTCGTTTCGTTGTTTTCTTCACTTTCGTCCCTAGTGAAAAAGCGCCACTTTGAATTAACTTTATCATCAGGAAGTAAAGCTCATAAATCAGCCACGCATACGAGCAAGTGTTTACTTTTGTTTGTACGGGCGGTTCCTGTTAATATGTTCAGCTGTGGAAGGACAAGAGCAGATCCTGTATGTGCATACGAATCTGCTTCACTAATTGGACTTGCCATTTCTAAAGACTAAAGTATCCTGTACACAGCTTGCGTTGAGAGGTTCGAGGATCGCATGTCAATGCCTTTCACGTACATCGTCATCTTCATCCGCAGATGGGTCGTGCGCTCTCGCCTCAACCAAAGTTGCATTGCGTTTCGAAACAAATAACTCACCCACATCCGATTTGACGATGCCTGCGAGGGGCGCAGTAGGGCCACCAACCGGCGAGCCCTATAAGGTGGGCTGCGCACAAGATTCTTATGATTTAATACGGGCAACTCCGCCACTGGAAAGCTCAGATAGAGACTTAGCCTCTCCCGGTGCTATTGTCCCCTTTGTGGCATGTTTCCTGGGAGTCACATCTTAACTGTTATCAGTTGGAGGAGCTCTTCTGTTTAAGAGGCACCTGAACGAAGCGAATTGGGGGGGGGGGGGGTGGCTTTTGATATCTCCATTAGTGTTAGGTATTTTGTCCGTCACCCGCATCTACTATGAGTGGATAAACAAAGACCGCGGATAGATTCGTGTTTAGATAAGCGGTAATTACGTTCTCTTAGGGGAAAGCGTAGGAGGAGGAGGAGATCTGTGGAGCAGATACCTTAACCGAGACGCTTTGCCGACAAGGACAGGTATACTGGGGTGACTATTTCTGGTTTATTTGCCGTCGTCAGCCAGTGAATTTCCAGCCCGAGGGACCACACGACTACCTGTGTATGCTGTAACCCTCAATTTCGGGGGGAAAACATGTGCCCGTTTCCATCCTGTCAGCAGAGTGGGTATGTGAACGCCCTGTCTTGAGACATACCACTCTCACATGACAACATTGTGACCGGCTGGCCTGGTGAGAGCGTTGTCCGATGAACAGCCGACCGTGGTGTGCCGCCCAGGTTTATGATACCGCCGGCCATGTGGATAAGAAATATTGGCCTAAAAATATGCTTGCGTATTTAAACGCCGCTGCAGCTCAGGGCGTGATTATCTCGCTCCCCAAACAGGGCATGAGGACAGGAACCGCCTGCAATACAGGTGGCCTCGTGCCAAGACCTGGGGAGATTAGGGTTAAGACTAAGGATTAGCGTTGAGGTAATTTGGGCCGAGGCCGGAGTCACCGCCAACTGCAGGGTTAGCGTTGTGGCTTAGGTTTTTGTTATGGCTAGTGCACGGGTTTGGACGCAGGAGTATTTACCTTCCATAGAATTATGTGCCGGGCAACCTTTATTGCCTGAGCGGGGCGTTCCTGTTCCCATGTTCGGTCCAGGAGGCCATACAAATAATCCTTGTCCACCTCAGATGCGCCAAGGCCGTGGTAGTTAATGCGTCAAAGTACGGCAGAGGCTACACCTGGTCGTATGAGATTGGCTTCGCAGCAGTTAGGTCAGGGTGAAGGAGATGAGCAACAATTTAGAGTGCCTGATCGTGACTGTCATGCTGTGGTCTCGAGCAGGTTGGGGCAGGGACGAGAACTAGAAGGGGACAGGCAAGGGGCGCATCGTAAGACGAGGGGGTCCTATTTTAATAAGGCAGAAACTGCGATACGGGGACAAGGGGGAGGAATGCGGATATTGTATAACACCAGATTTCTGCCTGAGAATCTTGGTGGGGACGCGATTAAATTAACGAGCCGGTTAATCTTGTTGCACGGAATTGGCCATGAAAGGGGAATGAGGGATTGAGGGCGCGGCCTCATCGCGCCCGGAGGAATGCAACCTCGTCGTGAGGGATGCAGTAGTATTCGGAGCTGGGGGGGGGGGGGGGGGGGCTGTAGTTGAAAAACGCTGGTCTGGCTTCTGGTTGTTTTCTGGTGGTCGTGGCGAGGCAGGTCCGAGCCTATGAAGCTGCTCAGTAGGGTAACCGCCGGCGCCATCTGTTTACTCGGAGCGACTTTGTACCGTTCCCTCATCTGCTATTATCTGCGCCAGCGGTCCCAGTGAACTGTTGCTAGAACAAAATGTCGGATGTTCAAGAACCATCAGGTCTCTAGTCGGTCCCTTTGCCGTCTGCAGTGTGGAGACTGTGTTGAACTTAGGGCAGATTTCGGGACTTCCTTGAAATTCAGTGGCAGGACTTCGCTTAGAATTCAGGGATTGAGTGCCACTGTTTCACCAGCAAGTTCAAGCCAATCATTCACGGCCTGCTCGTCAAGTAATCAAGCGGATTTCGAGTCCAGTTCTGTTGCCGTTCTATTCTCGGCTGTTATTTAAGACGAAAGCAACCGGCCAAGCCCTACACCCACAGCGGCCCTATGCCTGTTGCGTTAGCTAGCCGGATTTGTGTCCACTTGCATGACTAAAAAAGATTTTTGCAAATAGGAGCCCCTTGGTATGTTCACGAAGAGCTGTGCGCCTCCATGTCGTCGTGGATTGCCTTAAAATATTTAAACCGTAAAGTATGTGCCTCAGTTAACACTTCGCTACTTCAGGCAACACCCAACATTAAATTACAGCCCTCCGTCGTGTTAACTTGCGTGCAGTTAAAAGGATGGTGTATGTCCGGTCAGGATGTCATTTGAGAACTACTATAGGACAAACAAAGTCATCCGGTAAAGACGGAAGCCGGCTGCTGGGAAAAAATTGTCATATCTCCATGCTAAGAATAGCACGTGGGAGTGAAGCAAGTGCAAACTTAAATGAAGAGGTCACGCACATTGGCTCCCTCCTTTGAGACTTTAGTGTTTAAATGAATAACCTGAATGGCAAAGTAAAGTTAGGACAAAGGCGAGAAGGAAGAACGTTCCTCGAGAAATAGGAATAATTGACTGTCCTGCGGGCCGTACAGCAGGGAAGTCACCCATCTGGTCTAAACGCATGAATACTTCTCTTTATTGGTCCATTGCGAGATGTTTGGCCAAACGTCTCGATCTAGTTCATTTAATTTAATTTAATTTCTGTAGCAGTCGAGCATAACGACAACAGAGTAGACAGGATCTGGGATGCTGAACGGCTTTTGTGGCTTTATGTGTCATCTTCCCTTAGGGGTATTCTGGCAGAACTTGTAACATACTCGCCTATGAAGTCTATGGAATCACGCCCCCTCCAGTCACAGTTTTACCTGGCCCTCTTAGAACGATGCAGGCGTCCATTTACCTGTAAGTGGCCGCCAAGTGAGTTTCGACAGTGAGGACAGTGCCTTCACTTCAGAAATTATACTTCAATTCAGAACAGAAGGAGTTCGGTTCTGCCCTAAATAACGCCAATAAAAAATATTACTTTGATACAACTTGAGATGGAATCAATTTCCTCAAGGGCCGGGTAACCCCAGAGATGTGTCTCGGAATACGAACCCCCCTTAATACAGGTGGCCTTACGCGAAATTTCGGGAGATTAGCCTCTTCCCCTGTCCTAATCCGAACCTTAACCCGGATCATACTTTAACCTTAATGCTAATCGTGCTGGATTTTTGCCCGAGGCCACCTGTAGAGCGGGGTATTCGTATTCCCGTGTCATACTGCGAAATCTATGTTACTATCATTTCAATGAAACTTGTGGTCACTTTCCTCTAGTTCAAAGATGGTATCGGTCCAAGCACCATCAAATAAAGAACTCAGAACTCTCCTGAACTATCATAAGCAGTTGTTAGGACTGTATCGCTGAGCCATTACAGTGAGGTCATCTATAGATGTCTTGCCTATGCACACCAAATCTCTACTGCATTTATCAGTTTGCATTCAGTGACGAATACAATTAGGGTGGGCACACTCAAAGGCGGTTGGTAGCTCGCTCGGTCAGGCGCACGTCCAGTGGGCTGTTGAGGACAAAGGGCAGGGCAGTGAGAATCTCGGTGGCGGAGCGCGTACTGAACACCAGCAAAACTGCGGATTAAGGACTAACACAAGGACGGCCCTCGGCGTGTGTTAGTAATAGACAGCGGCTCTAGGGAGGAGTCCGGAGTTGTGTAAACAGTCTGAGTGCGTGGATAGCCACACAGTTAGGGAAGTCCATGCGGTGAATTCGATGGTTCACCAAAATTTCTCAAAAGTACTTCGTGTCGTTTTCCGTATGAAGGTCAAATGCGCCAGGCCGTTTTCGCAGAGCTCTTCCAATAGTTCGACCATCGTAAACGATGAGGACGACTAAAGAAATACTTCATGTGGCCCAATTGTGAAAAACTCGACGGCTTCGGTGAGATTCGAACCCACAACAGCAAAAACAGGGCTTGAATACAGCCAAAGCTTTAACCACCTGAGTTACGAGGCCTCATTGTGAGCCGTGAATTTAATTACATTTGGGTCAAGTTCCGAGCCCAGTCTACAGCAACTTATGCAATCCACCAAGTCTGGTACCGTAAGCTGACTACCCAAGCAGGATCCGCCAGAATGACTATCAGAACCATTTAATTAACTGCTGTTTTAACAGATTTGAATAATTCCTTTGACCTGAAAGTGGAAAATTCGGCGGCCTCGGTAGGATTTAAACTCACGGGAGCAGGGGCAAGGCTTGTGTACAGCCAACGTCTCAACAAACAGAGCCGCCGCTTTTCTCGCAATTGGTTCAAATTAATCATTCATATCTGTCAAAACACCAATTAACTAAGTGAGCCTGGTGGGCATTCTGGCGGATTCTAGATTGATCGCCTGGAAAATCCTGCTTGGGCAGTCACCTTACGGTGTCAGATTTGGTGGACTCGAGACGTTGCAGTAGGTTGGGCAAATAAATTTAGTTAATAATTCACGATGGGCCCTCGTATCTCTGGGGGTTAGAGCGCTGACTGTACTCGAGCCTTGCCCTTGCTGTCGTGGGTTGGAATCCCACCGAGACCGTCAAGTTTTTCATATCTGGGTCAAATGAATTATTCAAATCTCCCAAAAACACCAAGTGACTTAAAGAGAGGCAAACTTGATAAACAAACGAGAGTTGTCGTTGTTGTTTAAATGAGACAACTTGGCGACATCCTCATATTCTACTGTTGTCTCAGTTGTGACATATTTATAGCTCCACTTCTTCAGTTAAAAGAGTTACAACCCTACGACCAGTTTTTTAGCTTCTATAAAACTCCCTTGCAGTCTGTCCTCAGCACTTATTAAGTGACTTTGCTCAGACTCCTCTGAACTGTTGCTGGACATACGAATGCTGGTTTTTTTTAAGAAGCTAAAGTTGATTTCTAACTCAACGCCGCAAAATGTCTGATCGGTTTCTTGTAGATTGCATAGTGTTTTAAGAGAATCCCAATAGATCAGATTTTTCTGCTGCGACTAACACTATCAGTATGTCCTACGTGTCTTGAACAGAGATTCTCGGGCGAAAACGTCCTGAAAATCTAGGTGAATATTTCAGACCGGAAAAATGCCTAGACGTAATTTTTCTGTGTCAAAGCATTTCTCTGGAAGAGAAGGTGAAACTAACCTATGATGAGTATATTTTGCCTAAGATTTTTATCTCCTATTCTCAAAGTGAACTTTAGGTCGCTTTGTAACATATCACATTATTTTACTTAAAATGTCCTAGCACGAAAATCCAGCATACGAGAGTTCCAGGGCTTGCTGCGCAAGACTTCCTCTTCGACACAAATTTATGTCAGTACACCGTCGACTAATCATTCGCGCAGGCACGGCATTCCGCATCATGAACATAAACGGCCTGCCTGGGTAACTTGAAACCAAATTCCCCAAAAAAACATTGGGAAAATTCTGTAGTGCAATTAAAAGTAGTCAAATCGGTCCAGCCGGGCAAAACGCCCCAGGTGCTTTGACTTGCGTGCACGAAGGCTCGAAATAAGAAATCTGAGCCTACGAGCTCGAAGATCGTTGGTGATGCATTGGCGCACATTTGAGGCAACAGGTAGCTTTATCAGGCAAGTTTATTTAATGGGTTGCCAACCAAAATTGCTTATAGACTGCTTTTTTCTACCGGTTGAAAGTAGTCATAATAAGGGCGTGTTGTGTAAGAAAGAGTGTTGGCTATCAAAATGTTTAAAGTCAATTCTGATTGGTAATAATTAAAATGTAACACACTGGTTCTCCTTTATAAGAGCACATGCTATTCATGCATATTTTTCAAAGAAGGCTTTTTGAAGCGACTTCTGCTGGAATCTTTAAATGTCATGTGGTAGAGAAAACACTAACGGAAGGGTATGCTTAGGTTAGATCTCAGATGAAATATCTCAGGAAACTTTCCATAGGCCTCACAATAGACAGGTGGTGAAAAAAAATGTCACTTGCCTTTGCAACTAAACTTATCATTCTCAATTAACTAAGCAGCTGTTAAATCCTTTGCCCAACATACCGCATGCGATAAAGTTAGGATGGGTACGAAGAAGTTAACAGAAGCTAGGAGGCGAGGTCCAGGAAGCAGTCGTGGAGGCGAAACGATTACTGGAACAAGAGCTTTATTCGTTTCCTGTCTCACATTCGAATTCAATCATTAAAAACAGAATCAGGTAAGGGTAGTAAGTTACACAGGCGCTGCAGTATTTGTAGGATGCAGTTACTATGTCACTGCCGGCCTATCAACGTTAGTAACTTCCCCCATTCATTGCAGGTAGCTGCACGTGATGCGATAATCACTTAACGGCCCAGGCGTTGTAGTATGCATTTGCGACGCCTTTACATGCCTGGCAAAATGGGGCGGTTCCCGAATCCACTGCAGATTGTCGCAGTGGCGCGATAATTGCCCAACTGCCCTCAACCGAGCCGTCAGTTGTCGGACTTTAATCACTCGTTATTTCTTGGGCCATTTGGCTCGTCGACATTGGTAGCGGGAACACTGGTTGTTCGCACGCTCCTCGCGTGACTAAATACTTTGCCAGACAATATCTCAGCACGAAATATAGAGGAGGAGGAGGAGGAGGAGGAGGAGGAGGAGGAGGAGGAGGTCGTTACGCCTTTTAATTGACTGGGAGCTGGGAAACCATAACTCGAGCACTTTGCTGCTCACGCGGCTGTCACCTCTCGTGAAAATTTCGGCCTTGCTTAACTGAAATGTATGGTCAGGTCGCGTCGGGTGAGTCGCGGCTTGGGAGTCAGTGTTGTCCCCCTCACTGCTGTCGCATGTCTGGCCATCCGCGTTTGGAGTGATTTCCCATTTTCTCCGGCATAGTTGTTTTGCCTGCAACTCCATCAGACCCAAATAAACGACTCCATACATTGCCGCCCGAGAGAGTGGATATTTCGGCCCATTTCTTGGCGCCTGATGGTTGCCACTGGTGGCTGTGCAACTCCAGCTTCGAGTTGCGTGACAAGGCGTCTGACAACTTCCCATGCGCTCTTGACGTACGGGAGCACATGTCAAAATCAAAGGCCGGTTGAATTCGGCTTCTCACCTCGTTTTCACATGCAATAACTGTGCAACCCACTATCCATATCTGATTATGGCTGTGATACTGGTTTTGCGCGCCGATACGAAACAAGAAGCGAATAAGGCTCTTGTTCCGGCTATTGCGCCTCCTTCCCGACAAAGAAGCCCTTTTAAACTAAGAAAAATAAGGTAGTGGCTAAAGGGAGGAAATCCTTAAATGGTAACTCTACCTCCATATGCAGAATGAAAGTGAAAACGGTTTTAGAAGAGAACCTGTTCATGAGAAAGCATGAAAAATAGCATGATCAGTAGTAATCACGGTTTTTTGAATCATTGTTTCCGGGCATAAAAGTAGACAGCCTACTAATCTCTCTGTTCTTTTTATTTGATGGTCTCAGCCAAAACTTTAGGCGTTGTATGAGTTCGGTCATGTGCCTTGCCCCTTTATTACACAGAGAAACGAGCTTTTTCTCTAAGCGGTCTCAAGGGGTATCTCCAAATCCCTTTTTGCTTGAAAGCACACAAGAAGATATTTTAAACATTTGGAGTCATGACTTTGCTGTTCTACACTTCTTACAGGATTTTCCATCATCGACAGTATAAATGTAAGCTAAAAGCTCAGACACGTGTTTCGCCGATATTCTGCCGCTGCGTGACACAGCTGCGAGGGGTTCGGCTCATCGCTGGGTCCCCCAGCGTTCCTCGTGTGTTTTTTGGCTGATGTTCAAACTTCAAAATCTCGGTTTTTTAATGTCCTCGGAAAGAAAAAGTAAATAATTCGTAGTAAATGATTCATAGGCTCAGTCCGAAAGCTGATATGACTACTTGAGCCGAAAACCGTCAGCATCAGGGGGATAGCCGCGTAATATTCATAAAGTGCCAACGGAATGATGACGGCCAATGGGCCAGAAATGGCCATTCCAGCCTCCCTTGCACTCGTCGGTAACGTTGTTCTGCCTAGATGCGCCACTAGTCGCTGTTCGACTGCTGGCGGTGTCCAGGACTGAGTCGTAAGGCACAGCGGAATTAATGCGTTCCCTGTCGCGACCGGCGAGCGCCTCCCTACCATTGTAAGGTTCGTGTTATTTTTTCACGGGGAAATCGTTTCTGTCAGTACCATCGCGCTGGATCTGGGGAATTTACGTACGTGGTTCTGGGTGAGAAAGACATTCGCTACGCAAAGTCTCAGCTGCTGATGAGAAAGAAAGTTCTTTTATTTGCAACGAAAACTGCGACCACTTATTTTCTAAGAAACGAATGTGGGACGTCACGGTCCGAATAAGGCTGTTTACAAAAGGTGCTACTTACATTAGCAGATGAGTAGGGATGTCCAACTAGGGGGTACACCGTGTAGGTCTGTTAAGTCGCAGTGGGCGCTCCGCGCGACTCTTAATTGGCGCCCAACTCTCATCTGTCGCTCCCCGAAGCTAGGCCCTGGCCAGCGACAACGACCCGGTAACCGCATCGATCGGCGGGCTGGGCCAAATGAGGGTATCCCTCGGTGTTTTCCCACATCCGGTAATTTTTCGCCTATCTACTCATCACCTTCGTCGTCATCCCCTCCCCTTTCACCCTTCTCCTACCCCTATTATATTTCTAAACGTCCTCCGGATAGGGCAACGCGGAATCCCGTAGGCTTCCCGCTTCTCTGAACAGGGCCAACTGGAGAAGGTTGGTGCCCGCTACGCCTTCTTCTGGAACGGCCGCCCAAAGACAGAGCGATATGACACTGGCGTCGCCCTTGCCATCCAGAACGGCATCGTGGCATGACTGCACTGTCGGCCGCACGGCATCAATGGCCAACTGATGAGCCTGCGCCTGCCTCTTCAGGAATCCAAATTCGTCCCCATCACCAGCGCCTACATTCCCCAATGACCAGCTTTGAAGGGGTAAAAACAAATTCTGCAATGACTTGCGGGCCCTGCAGGCGACTGTGCTGAAGACGGACATTCTGCTTGCCCTTGGCGACTTCAATGTCCCCTTGCGACAGATCATGCTGCCAGGGAGTGAGTGCTGGGTTCCCACGGAATCGGCGACTGTAATGAAAACGGCCTCCTTCTTCTGCCGACCTGTGCAGAACATCGGTTTCTGCTGGCCATCACCTTCTTCCGCCTTCCGACACGGAGAAGGCGACCTGGATGAACCCCTGGTTTGAACCAATTAAGGCGGTCTACGGTCCCACAACTAAAGCAACTGCGGCACTGCTTAACTCCGACAGAACAACACTACCTACGGAGAGATTGAAAATTCTAAAAGATGGGCTGAACGCTTCAGAAAAGCCTCAAATCGACTGTCCACAATCTCCAACGCCGTAATCAATAGACTCCCCAAATCAAAACGAACGATGACGCGAAACTCCTTCCTTCCCTTCCCGAAATAATTAAGACTGTACACTTGGCGTCCAATGGGAATGCACTGGGATCTGATGCAATTCCGGCCGCGGTCTGTGAGGCGGCCGCCTTTGGCGACAAGGATATGTAAGAAATAAACCGGTCTATCGCGAGTAGAATTAGAAAGAATAAGGTAGCCGCAAGAATGCATCGTGACGATAACTTGCTATTGAAAGTCGTGTCAAGGTTATTTACAGGTCGTATTTTTGGCGCAATAAAACAGAACGCTTTTTCATGTCACTACAAGACCCGGCCTCCCGGGAGAACAGAGTTCGAATGTGAGAAATGGGTGTGAAGTAAAGAATTGTTAGGCATAATGTACAAGTTGGTTCCGATCAGGGAAACGGACACGACAACCGCTGCGCGTAGGAGGTGGACTTGGAGGGGAGCGGAACGCACAGGGTTATCAGGTGGAATCGAAGTGGCGGGCGAAGAAGGCTGATCTGTTGGGGTGGGCGAAGCAGGGTCGGTGTAGGTCACCTTCAACCGATCGGTTAATACTACTTCGGTGTGATTACCACGGACGGTTTTGAAATGCTTGTCCGTGTGTGACAGGACAAGAAATGGTCCGTCATTGGGTCGTTATAGTGTCTTACGAACGTTGTCTACGCGGACAAATACAAAAGAACACGTTAGCAAGTTAGGACCGATATATCACTTGCATGCTGGAACGCGTGGAGGTATGGTCCCGAGATTAACCATTGCTTGGCGCAAGCGTTGGACGTAATCGGTTGCATCCAGATCGACAAAGTTTTAGGATGGCCCGAAGAAGTCGCCGGCAATCCGTAGGGTCGGCCCGTAAACAATTTCGGCAGCGGAGCACTCTAAGTCGGGTTTTAACGAGGTGCGGATACCGAGCATGACCAAAGGGAGATTTTCCCTCCAATGAGTGGGGTTATCATGGGTCCAAAACTGGGTTTTAGGTTGGCTGTGGGAACGCTCAAGGATATTGTTGGATGAGGGATGGTGAGCCGTCGTGCGTATTCGAGAGCATCCGAGGAGGTCTTGGGTAGTGGTAATAGCAGTTGGGACACCATAATGGAAAATCCAGTGTTCTAAGAAGGCACGAGAGACAGTATCTGCAGCGATATTCGGAATCGGAGTTGCGATGGGCCGTGGAATACTTGTCAGAAGGAGTGGAGAAGGCATAAGTAAGAGGTTTGTGGTCATTGTAAATACGAAACTGTCTACTTTCAACAAAGTCACGAAAATTCTTAATGGCGAGATAAATGGCAAGGAGCTCTCTACCAAAAGTGCTATAAGGAGTTTGTGGGTGTCCATTTAACAGAGTGGAAGGATAGGGGTTGGATGCCCGTTGGGGTCTGTTGCTGGGGGGTTGCGCTTATGGCGAAATTGGAGACTTCAGCAACAATGGACAGCGAAGAATCAGTTAGAGGATGAGAAAGCGCGATTATATTCGAAAGGGTCCTTTTGACACGTTGAAAAACGTCCCGGCGGTATAAGGAAAAAAAATTCGCGCTTGTTGCCCGTAAAATATTTGTGAGGAGTAACATTAGTTGGGCACAATGAGGGATGAATCGTCGGTAAGATGTGACAAGACCTATGAAACCGTGCAGTTGTCGGAAAGAAATGGGTGCGGGGAACTCTCGAGTTGCTGAAACTTTAGCGTCTATGGGATGACAACTGAAAGCATCTACGCGCTGTCCCAGGAACAAAGCGAGGGAACACCAAAAACGCATTTGTAGGCGTTAATAAAAACGCCAGATTGGCTCAACTGCTCAAAAATGCGACGTAGGTGTTGTAAGTGCTGATGTTCACTGGAACTTGTAACTAGAGGATCATCGATATAAACAAAAACGAAAGGTAAGTCACGCAGGACCTCGTTAAAGAAACGTCAAAAGTTTGGACAGAGTTACGGAGTCCGAACGGCATCCTGACGAACTCGAAAAGGCCGAATGGAGTTGTAATCGCCGCTTTTGGGATATCTTCTGGAACAACGTGTATTTGGTGGAAGACTTTTACTGGGTAAATGCTTGGAAATATTGTTGCCCCGGCTAGGCTAGAGGAAAAGTCGTGGAGGTGGGGAAGCAGATATTTGTCAGGAGCAGTGCAATTGTTTAATCGTCGGTAATCACCACATAGACGCCCGTCCGTGAGAGACTTTTTGCAAACCGTATGCGGAGGGGCGGCCCATGGACTATTGGATTGTCGAACTATGCAAGTTCCATCACATGGCTGAGTTCAGCCTTGTGATTGCTAACTTTTCAGCCGCTAAACGACGAGGATGGCTAGGCGCGGGTAGTCCCGTAATCGAAATATGATGAATGGCGGAATGTTTAGTAGACTGACCAGACTGTGAAGGCCGGGTGAAAGATGGACATTTCGAAAGCGAACGATGATAAGGAGTAGACGAAGGAATTGTTGAAATGCATGGGCTAGGGGATGAAATGGTACGAGTTGAGCGATTAGAATAGAAGGATGTCATCAGATCGACAAGTTTATGGGACCTGATATCAACGGGAAGACCGAAAAGGAATATAAAATCGGCACCGAAAATGGTGGTATAAGCATCAGCAATAGTAAATATCCAACGGAATGTCCTAACCCAAGGTCTTAAGTTAGGGATCATTAACCAGATGTCTTTATGGGGGTACTATTAGCTGTCTGGAGGAAATTGAAGAATTGGGTGACTTACCGTCAGTCGGATAGGGCAGGCAATCTATGATGTCCTTTAGGACTTCAAAAATGCTACCATCGTTCGTGAATACAAGCGCAAAGGGAACCGACAACTCTGCGACAATCGCAGAGACATCTAACCACTCGGTATCACAGGCAAAGTCTTGTTCCACGTCCCCCTCAACCGTCTGAGCACGCACCTGGAGCAGGGAATTTTCCCGGAAAGCCAGTGTGGTTTTTGCAGGAGCTGAGGAACCGTTGACATAAACTTCAGAACCCCCAACTACGACAGAAGGGCCTAGAAGTGAGGACCAACCTCTACACCATCCCCCCTTCGCTCTGATGGAGGCCTTCGACGCAGCCAACCGTGATGGATTCTGGGAAATAATGCTGAAACTCGGACGTCCGGATCACTCCACACCAATGGGGCGCCAACTTCACAATGGGATGATGGCCTGCGTCATGGGAAATGGCAGTTTCCGAAGCGTTCGCTGTGAACAGTGGGGTGAAACAGGGTTGTGTACTCGCTGCAGCCCTATTAAGTTTCATGTTCTCCGCATTTCGATGGACGCATACCGTGGGGAGCGGCCGGAAATCGACATTAAATACCGAACCGATGGAAAACTGTTCAACTTCGCCTGTCTGAAAAGATCTTCTAGGGTATCCAAGGCCATAGTCCACGATCTATTGTTCGCGGATGACTGCACCCTAAATGTCACAACGGGGAGGACATGCAGTGGGTTGCGGACCTCTTCGCCTCCGATTGCTCTAACTTCAGACTGACCGTCAACGAGGAGAGGACTGTGTTAATGCACCAATCAGCATCCAATATGGAGTAGAATTAATGTCATATCAACGTCAACGGAATCCAACTTCTACCAGTGAAAAAATTCGCATACCTCAGAGGCAAAATTTCAAAAAAATGTCAAGATCAGCGACAAAGTGGCCCACGAGATCTCCTAGGCCAGTCAGGATTTTGACTGGCTACAGTCCCCAGTCTAGAACCGTCACGGACACCAAGTCAACCCGAAACTCAAGATGTGCAGAGCAGTGGTCCTGTAGACGCTGCTGCATGGGATAGACATAAAATGGCTACGCCAATCAAGTCAGGAAACTCGTTTACTTCCACCTCAGCCATCTTCAGAGAATAATGAAGTTGAGGTGGCAAGATGGAGTGACAGACACGGAAGTCTAGGAACGAACCGGAATCCTCAGCATCTACGGCATGTTGGGATAAATCCAACTACGGTAGAGCTGTCAAATTGTGAGGATAGACCAGGAGAGCCTACCAAAGCGACAATGCTATGGTGATGCCGCCAAGGGTACTCGTCAACAGGAAGCACAGAAACAACATTACGAAGACACTCTAAAAATAACCCTCAAGAGTTTACAAATGAATCCAATGACCTGGAGGATCTCGCCCAGGATCGGTTGGTCTAAAGAATAACATTGAGGATTGGAGCGGCAGTCTACAAAGCTTACGGCGTCGTCGCCGGCAAAAGCAAAGGAGCGGCTCCAGCGCCTCTGAATCACAGCGCTAACATCCAACCCCTCCCATTGTGTCCTTGCTGTCAACGAGCCTTTCGCGCACGGATCGGCGTCGCCAGACATCTGCGGATCCGATGCAATAATGACACAATAACCCGACCTGCTGTCTCCGAAAACGCCTCTGTTGTCACCCTTGCACCATAACCCACGACGGCCACCATATTCTCCATCTGTGATCACACTCCTGATGTCCCGCCGACGTCGCCCACAACTCTTATTATTACTGACACAACTCCACGACGACGGCTACCAACTCTTCCACTCCCACCACCAATGATAATACCCTCGATATCTCGTCAACTACCACCGTTACCATCATCAACAATGTGAACTGAATCCCAACCTGCCCCCATTGCGATCGTACCCTCAAATCACGCATCAGCCTGGCCGGTCACTTGTGAAACTGCCGCACTAAGGCTGGCGAAATAGTGCCTGGGGCCCCAGCATAGACCCATTGCGCCCACCCCAACTACCCGCACTTCCCACGTACATTCACTCACCGAAAGG